TGACAGATTGAGAATTTAAACATTATTAAAAAAAATATAATAAATACAATTCAAAACATAAGGACAAATCAAAAACCCAATCTACTATATAAAGACATATTGAGATATTTACCTCAAAACTAGAGAGAATAATTTGTAATTTACTTGATAAAGTTGCATTTTTCCTCTAAAATTTTTAGTTTTTTTTTTTTAATTTAGATAAAGTAAGTTTTCATTTATTTTAATTAAATAATTTTTTTAGTATTAACTTGGGGAGAAAGTTGCCCTTATTTTATTTAATGAGTCGATATTGTTACAATAAGATCTTGCATCCATTAATCAATATAAATGCTTAAATTAGGGGATTAAGCACCATTAAAGTCAGTGGTAATGAGAAATTTTATAATACACAAGGAGTAACTAGTGTCATATATAGTAGTTACTCCATGGGCCCACTTTGAGGAAAGAGATAGACATAAAAAAAAGAAGAGAGAAATGGAGAGAGAATAGAAAAATTTAAGAGGATATGAAAATCTTCTTATCACTTTTGGTAAGCATGGACATAATTTCTCTCTTTTTGTGTCTATCTCTCTCCTCAAAGTAAGCTCATGGAGCAACTACCGTATGTGCCACTAGTTACTTCTTGTACATTATAAAATATCTCGGTGATAACAACCTAATTTCCATAAGAAAATACCATAGATATTGCTCCACACAATCCAAATCTCAAAAACTTGCTCTCTAAGTATCTAACTCTATATGTATAGAGAATCTCCGAACCCTAACTAGGAAAACCCTCCACCACCACCATGTCTTTCAATCTTTCTCCGATTCTTGGCCCGTCGGAGATCCACACCAAACCCACTTTTGAAACCATCCTATCCAAGGTTGAAAACCTCCACTTAGAAAATAATGGTGACCCTCATGAATTCGATTTCACAAAAAACAACTCCCTCACGTTTGTAAAGACTAGAAATCCTTACCTCGACTTCTTTTTCCACGTGATGGCCTACACACCTAAGGATGCACTCATAGATAGATTTAGCAAGGCATGGGCTGTCGGGAGCCCAAAACGACCACCTATATTGTGTTTCGGTTAAGAAGGGTGACAAGCTCAAAACGACAAGAAAGAGTGTGTTTAACTAAAAGGTAGAATAGTCTATTTAGTCATAATCAAATTTTTCCTCGTTTGTTATTTTCTACGACCTTAACGAGTACTCGTTAGGGAGCATTCTAGAAGAAATAATTGGTGTAAGGAACGATTCCTTATGTCCTTAAATATAGGAAATTGTAATCAAATGGCATATGAATATTGTTAAGAAATCTCATTCTCGAATTCTCTCTTTTCCTCTTCTTTATAATCCTTTCTTCCCTTGTTCCTAAATTCCGTTCTCTCTGCTAGGGTTTGCGGTACCTCTCCCTCTATCCGAATAACCCCACCTCCGGTTCCTTACTAGTGGTATCGAGCTCTTCCACACCATGGCCGAAGGTACCGGACGAAAAACCTTAGATGAACAAGTCAAAAACCTCGAGGGTCACTCGCAATCCCTATAAGCTGATGTAGCAAAATCCAAACTAATGCTCAACAACACCAAAATGAAAATAGACAAATATGGAACCAAACTCAACAAGCCATACAAGGTTTAGTAGAAGCTATGAGAGTTTCTCGACTCGTCAATTTGGGGGAATCAAAGGGAACTAGTAGTTCATCTATTCATACCATAGACACGGAGAAAGGAATCTTACCCACACCTATGAACATTCACTCACCTCATACCGGACATAACCCCGTTTACCAAAACCTTAACCAAGATAAAATAATCAACTTTGACCACTCGGCTAATCACAAAACATCGAACCAGCTATGGCCAAAGATGGAGTTCTAGTATTTTGATGGAACTAACCCTAGGTCGTGGGCTAAACAATGTCAAAAGGTGTTTCAAGTATTATCAAGTCGGGGAGGAGGAGACTCGTCGCTATATTCTTGGATGTTAAGCCTAACATATGGTTTCAAGAATGGAAGGAGGATAAAGGTAGGATGGTTTGAGAGGAATTTATGGAGAATCTATGTAGAAGATTGGTGAGCAAGAAGAAATAGTCTGTGATAGAAGAGTTTCATAGGCTTCAACAAACCGGCGATATAGAAGAGTACCGGGAGAGGTTTGAGGACCTAAAATCATTAGTAAGAAAGATGAACCCGGGATTCACATAAAGGTATCTAGTCAAGGTCTTCGTAAGGGGACTAAATGGAGACCTCAACCTAGTTGTGAAAAGATTCAAACTCGTGGACCTCAAGGAAGCATTTGAGCAAGCCAAGCTCAATGAAGCCTTAAGAAAAACCACACACAATCAAAACAAACCACCCAACATACACCACTCCCAATCTCATAGACCCACCTAAGCTACCACCATTATTCCAAAACCAACATACCCAACCCAAACTTTCAACGAAACCAACCTTACCGATCACAAAGAGAATACCGGAACTATAGCACCCATACCCCGATCCACCGTCTATTACTCAAGTAGGAGTATTGGGCGAAGCGCGTCACGCCGACACGTCCTAACCTACTCTCAATATGATTACTCTTTGGTTCAAAAAACTAATATTTCATGCCATATTAGGATGAAATAAATGTACATAACATGAATTACATAACTAATAATATTATTACGAGATAGTAACAAGTTTCCCTCGCCCCCGGGTTACAAACAAACAAAATAACATCTAAAAAAAATTAGATGAACTAATTTATAAACTCCAAGAGTGCTTTTCATCTCATCGTAATTGTAATTTTGTACACGGAATTTGCAACCCTCTGTATCTTTTTTTTTTTTTTTTTTTTTTTTACCACCGGAACTGCGGCTCTTCTCTTCCATATGCATTAAAGAAAAAAAAGGGGGAAAACCTAGAAGTCAAGGGGCGGGATAAAGAAGCATTTTTCTGCTTTTCAAGACTCAAAAGCGGGAGGGAAAAAAAAAAAAAAAAGGTTGGACCAGCTTGTTAAACCTTAAGAAGTTGGAAGGTTTTATCAATTGTTTTTTTAGCCCCCTTTTTGAAACAAACAAGGGGAAAAAAAAAAAATTGGGCTAGTTGCTAAACATTAAGTGGGCCGGTTTTATTAACCATCTAATTTTTTAATACAAATTGTATGAAAATTAAAAATTATTAAACTCTGAAAAGATTCTTTTAACCGTCTAAAATATTCTGCATGTATAGACTTTTTTTAAAGTAGTGTGTCTTTGTCGTAGAAGGATGTGTTCTCTTGTCTACTTTCGTGGTATATCTCTCTGGTTTCATTGATGGTTTGCTTTGGCTCTGGAAGGAAGCATCTTAACAGTTATGGCCTCTAGATCATGAATGGTAGTTGATTATTTGTTTATCGGGGTTTGTAATTTTACTTTCATTTTTTATTTTCAATTGGTGTTTAAAATTTTTTCCTTCCAAGTTCCAACTTACCAAAAACGAAAAAGAAATAAATGACACGACAGCTAATGCATAAACAACATCAACTAATGGCTGATTAATGTTTAACAACCGTACAAATTTTATTTTTTAATTGATAATACCATACGCATTTCAAATACATTATTAATAATAAATATCTTTAAATATATAAAGTTATTTTATATATTATGATACTAATTAACTCCAAAATAGAACACCACAAAAAATGAAATTTGTTTGCGCCAATTAAAAATTCAAAACAGTCATAGAATTAATGGTCTCAACCCATGTATATACAACCCGATATGCCCATCATCTGATTCTAATTTCAGCCCCTTAATTTCTTTAACAAAAGAGAAGTAAAAGAAAAATGGTAAAGTTAGGCCATATATGTTGCGTGTGTGTGTGTGTGACGTGTCTGTGAATTTAAATTGCACGTTTCATCGGATAGTGTCTGTTGTGCTCACAACGTTTGAATCAAAGTATCAAATAAAAATGGAATGTCATTAATTAATTCATCAGTTATTTCATTTTGTTCATTAATATCATGAGTCCAAAATGTCATAAAAATGAAGAAGAATAATCTATGTTTATCTTATTAATCTCTTTTTCGCACCCATTCTATAAATATAGCATAAATATATCAATATTTTTTTATATATAATATTTAAAATCTTCTATCAATCTCTAAGTTTTTAATTCCATTCCATATATGGCTTTGAAATTTTTTAAAATAGTACATCTGTTGTTTCAATTAATTTTTCCTACCATAAAATTTTTCTTTATCAAAATGCTCCCAATTGAAATGCCAAAAGAAAATAATAATAAATTAAAAATTTCAAAATAGAACATGCAAATCATATAATTTTAAGGTTTTTTTAATTATTATTATGTATTTTAGTACAAAACATTTCGGTCTAATCAATAGTTTAAAATTTTGAAAAAAAGAAACAAAAAATTAAACGGATAAGATGTAATTGAAAACTTAAAAAAAAAAAAAAAAAAATTGGGTGTATATATATATGACGTGTCTATAAATTTAAATTGCACATTTCGTTGGATATTGTCTGTTGTGCTCACCACTTTTGAATCAAAGTATCCAATAAAAAAATAAAAATGGAATGACATTACTTAATTCACCAGTTACTTCATTTGTTCATTAATATCATGAGTCCACAATGTCATAAAAAATAATAATAATAAAAAAAATCAACAAGATCACCTGGCAAAAAAAAGTCAGCAATTGTATATATATAATTTTATTTATCAAAAAAGAAATCTTACAGCTAGCATCTGGTCCATATATAACAACGTAAAGTCAAATATTTGAAGTTTTCACAACTACTCAATAATGCTTAAAGGTCTATAAATAAATTTAGATCAAGAAGCAACCGATCCATATTCCATTCCAATTGAAGTATGATCAGATAATTATTTGTACATAAACAGAAATCGTGATAACTTGCCTCTCTGTCATTGATTCATTTCACCCTCCTCCTCCTCCTCGATCAATTTTCTTATAAAAGGGAGCAACGTCTCTGTAAGGTCACTGTATACCATAATTTTGAGTAAGGTCACACCTCCGAAGCCAACGAGGATTACATACTTTATTGGTAAGAAACTCTTGCCCGAATTCTTTTTACCACAATTTCCCATTTTCCCGCAAGATGTTTATGCACTAACTTGTAATGTGGCTCAGGTACAACATCTGAGGACCATTATGTCTTCTTTCTCCATGGAAAGGTCCCTATCACGTCTACAATGTCTTATCTCCAAGTCCAGCAAGAAGCAAGAAAATGAAGAAAGCCAAGACATGCAGAAAAAAGCCAAAAAGAAGTACAAAGCTTTAATCTCAACTCTTCCCAAAGAGAGAGGAAGTTCTGTGCTTGACACTCTCTACCAATACCAAGGCTTTTGGATCCCAATCAACCCATCTCTAAAAGGTATGCTTTTCATGCAAGACCACTTCAAGGCTCAACCTACTGATATTTTCTTGGCATCCCCTCCTAAATGTGGCACCACATGGCTTAAAGCTCTCATTTTCGCCATCATAAATAGAGCTCAGTTTGATTTATCCACCCACCCTTTGCTCACAGCTAATCCACATGACCTTGTTCCCTTCTTGGAAGGATACCTGTACGAACATCAATCCGTTTCTGGTCTTGAAGCTCTTCCCTCGCCTCGCGTCATTGCTACTCACAGTCCTTACCCGTTGTTGCCGAACTCCATGGTCAATTCTGGCTGCCGCTTTGTTTATGTTTGTCGTGACCCAAAAGATGCTGTTGTTTCAATGTGGCACTTCACAGAAAAATTATTGCCAAAACTACTCCCTCGTTATCCAATAAAAGATGTATTTGAGAAATTTTGTCGAGGAGTTTCACACTACGGACCTTTTTGGGACCACGTTTTAGGCTACTGGAAATTAAGCTTAGAAATGCCGGAGAAAGTACTGTTTCTCAAATACGAGGATTTGAAGAAAGATCCCTTAAATCATGTCAAGAGGTTAGCTAAATTTTTGGGTCAACCCTTTACACAGGCGGAAGAAAGTGATGGGGCGGTGCAAGAAATAATAAAGCTATGCAGTTTCGAGAGTTTGAGCAATTTGAAGGTCAACAAAAGTAGTCGAACTCGATTCCGTTCCAAGAACTCCGACTTTTTCAGGAAAGGTAAAGTTGGTGATTGGGAGAATCATCTTACAGAAGAAATGGCTGCTGTTTTAGATCATATAATGAAGGAAAAGCTACGTGATTCTGGATTGACATTGAAAGTGACACCGTATTTCGCATGAAATTGTGGCTCATGTTGCATGGTAAGTGCATTTCTGGGCTTCGATCAGGCTGGTGAAAGAAACGTTACTGGCACTTATATATCTGATTACCAGATCTTCATTCCATGGAAAATTACCGAGATCATACTGCTGTTTCTTGGGATACACGGTTCTAATATGATCTTAGCTGCTTTACCCTGCACTTTGACTCGCTCATTCTTATACCCACTATGCTTTGTTTCTAGATTTGGTCTAGTAATGTATTCGTTTTGGGAATAACCTGCTTGGAAAATTAGATGATTCAATAAATAGTACTATTTACATCTATAGAGAGACAATATAAGAGAACATGATGTAAAGCACTCAAAATAAATAATTCAATATATATTATTATTTGCAATTTAATCTGTTGTAAGAAAACAGACACATTTTCTTGTAATTTAATCTCGAATAACATGTCATTTTTTTTAAACAAAAAAAGTTGACCAGGATCTTTTGCTCCACCAAAAGAGAAAACTGTAAGAAGAAAAAAGAAGAAGAATATCTTTAAAAAAAAAAAAAAAAAAAAAAAAACTAAGAGACTTGCCTTATATATAGTGATGCTAGTTGTCATAACCCATTTCTTCCAATTTTATTCCTTTTAGGTCTTTGTTTAATTTTATTATTATCTTTTATTTATTTAGTTGTATCTTATTTTTATTTTTCATTTAATTTCAGCATTTTCTAAAAAAAAAAAAACAAAACAAAAAAGGGAAAAGGAATACAAAATGCAAATATATATATATATAACGATACAAAATACAAAAAAAAAAAAAATTAATTACATTAGGGGCATGATTGAATTAAAAATAAAACTGAAATTGAAACAATTAAGGATACAATTGAAATAATTGAAAACCCTAGAACCGAAATTATAAGATAAAAGGACTCAATTGAAAAAATTAAAAATACAAGGACTAAAATGGCATATCTAGATGGTACAATTAAAAGAAAAATGACCTATAAAATTGTTTTTTTTTTTCAAAAAAAAAAAAATTGGCAACAAGTTATAAGAACTTTTGAAAGCTAAAAGAAGTAATTTTAAAAGTTTTGAAAACTAAAAGAAGTAATTTTAAAAGTTTTGAAAACTTAATTTTTACACTATCACTACATATTTTAAGAGTCAGAAAATAGGCGCAAATCATGTCATAAGTCCAGGCTGGAACATGGTTCAACGTGCTCAAGATTTTTTTAATGTACATGTAACCATAAATTTAGACCCATGGTCTTAAGGTGCAAATTAAATAAGTCACACATAGTTCTATTAGGAAACAAAAGAGAAAAAAATAGAATAAAAAAATAAAAATAATCGCACAATATAAAAATTTACATGATTCAATAATCACAAAATATAAAAATCTACATGATTCGATAATTATGCTTATTTCATGACTACACTAAATTTTTTAATTAGAGTTTTATTAAATAACAGCTTATAAAGATAAGAAATATTATCTTTATTTATAGTGTGAATATGCAATTAGGGTTATGATTAAAAAAAAAGTGAAATTTGAACCATGGTATTCAACTCATTATCTTACCTCTTAACCAATCAGCAATCTTTTTGGAAACATGTTTTTAACCAAACGGGAAAGATGAGTGGCTTAAGATCCAAAACCTAGCGTAACTATAGAATTTAAAGAAAAAAACATTCATCATTAGTGCGAGGTTAATCTATTGTTGCTAACCCTTTACTGTATGTCTAGTGCATGTCATATTTATTAACATAATTTTTTTTAAAAAAAAAACAATATGAATTTTTCAAAAAAGATATAATTTTTTAAAAAAAACAATATGAATTTTTCAAAAAAGATATAATTTTTGGGTTGCTTTTTTTTTTTAGAGCCTTAATTAAGTTTTTTAGGTTGTAGCCATCCCGTATTAAATGAGGCAATGCTTAGCAGACCAAATTCTAAAGGTTATGCTCTAATGTAAGGTGCAACTTTTTCTAGGTTAAGAAAATATAGTACTAATTGTTACCGAGCTAGCCTCAAATTTAAAAAGAAATTATTAATCAATAAGTTGTCGATCTACCAATAAACGAGTTAGTTTTTAAATGAATTTCCTATTAATATGCTATGTTTGAATTCTAAAATCATATTTATTGGGTGGAATTAAATCTTATCACTTTACTATAAACAAAATCAATCATATCTCCACTGTGAAATATGAATATGTAAAGAAATAATTATTAAAATCTTACTAAGATATAGGTTTCGAATTCTAAAATTATACTTATTTAAAAAAAATTAAATTTTATTATTTTTATTTTAAATAAAATTAATCATATCTCAAATATGAAATGAAAATATCATGGAGCAAATACACACACTCGACTCCTTTCCATTTAGATCACCGGCCACCAGTCATGGATCACCGCCTGTTCCCATCCGAAGGCCAAAGTCTCACGACCAGCTGAACAAAAATATCTAATAAATAATTTAAGTGCTGAATTAAAGTTACATGGTTAAAATGTTTTCAGAACTTTAGTCTATTTAAAATTAGTTTCTAACTTTTAATTCGAGTTTGAACTTTTCTAATTTTTTTTTTAATTTAGACTTTATCCATCTTTTAGTTTTTTTATAAAACATAATAGTTACATAAATAGTTTCATAACGAAACCATTCAATAATATTTATTTGAAACTTTTCAAAAAAAAAAAAGCTTATTTTGATTTTTTTTTTTCAATTTTCTGCTTTTTAATATTAAAAAAATAAAAAATACATATTTTTTTGATCTTCCAAAATTCTAATATTTTTCTAAAAAAAAAAAAAAGATTAAATTTCCAATGTGTAAAAAATATCAATTCAAAATATCAAAAATTAATTTTTTTTTAGACTTGGAGTAATAGTTGAAAATTATTAAATGAACTAAATCTATATATTAAAAAAAATCAAAAGATGTGAATTTAAATATAAAAATTTTAAAAATTTAATTTTTAAACGAACTGAAGTTTGACATATTTAATCTTAAATTAATTACTTTACCCATCTTGATATGTTCGCGACCTTTTCGTCATCCGCAAGATGGCCATGTAGGCACTGCAATGCCTACAGAATATTCCAAAAACATGGTATTGCATTCTTTCTTTTATTTTCTGGACACAATATACAGAAATTCTTATAATTTTTATGTTCTAAAATAGATCTGAAATTTATCGAATAGCTCAATTTTAATGGCAGGACATCTAATGAAACAAGAGTAAATTATAAATTAGCTTTTCTAGTTTTCAAAGATGAATTAAATATTTTATAAAAATCATCAAAAACATTTTTGATTAATTTGATATTATTTTATTCTAAAAATATTTTTTTCTCATAAATTTTTTCATAGTTTTACTTCTTTTTTCTTTTTCTATTTATTAAAATAAAAAATAAATTAAATTAAAAGAATTAAGCTACAAATAGATTTAAAATATAAGAACTAACTAATTAATCATTGAAACCAAAAAAATTATTTAATTTCTTTTAAAACCTAGAGGGACTAATTTATAATTTACTTAATGAAACAAGTATAAGCCCTTTGAGCCAACCTTTGTTCCCTTTCTGCCCAGATGGAAGTTTCTTATCCATTTGCCCATGGGCCTGTTACTGATTTCGAAAAGAACAACTCCAAAATCAAGAATACCTATTACTCTTTTCGGTTTCGTTTTTTTATTTATATCTATTCCAAATTACTTATTTCATCAAAAAAAATTAAAAATATTTTTAATTAAATTTTATTTTTATCATAAATAATTTTTAAAACAAGAGGGTATTTTAGGACAAAAAAAATACTAATATAATATAATAATTAATAACTTTATTAATCAGTGTGAAAAATTAAAAAGACAAACATGATCTATTTGAAACAAAGAATGAAAATAGATTAATGAGTAAATTACAATAACAACTTTAACGTATCATGAAATTACAATGACCATCTAAAAGGTCAAAAAATATTATAGCTCCCACCCAAATACCCTTAATACTAAAATAAATGATGATTGCATAATGTTTTCTATCATTAAATGTGGAATAACTTACGTACTTTTTTTTATATATTTTTTGCAAAAAAAAGATTAAAATTAATCTTATTAGTTTGGCTTAGTTTCATCATTTTATTTATTTTAATTGATTGTTTACTTTTTTCTTGTATATATACCGATACCGAGTCTTTCATTTATTTATTTATTTTTCCCTCCATTTGTCCATGGAAGTGTTCCCGTAAGCTCACATATATGATAAAACCTTTCTAGCTCGTTAATTTGCCATGAGTAAATTATAAATTAGTCCTCTTAGTTTTGCAAACAAATTAAATAATCCTCTATGTTTCAGAAATTAATTAATTAATTTCTTAACTATTATTGACTATAGTTAATTCATTATTATTTTATTTTAAAAAATATCTTACTTGCTAGTCAAGCTTTCCATATATATATAGGAAAGAGCAAAAGAATTATATTACAAATAAATTTAAAAACCTAGGGATTAATTATTAGTTCTTGAAACTAAAAGAACCATTTAATTTGTTTTGCAAAACTAGAGGAACTTGTTTATGATTTATTCAATTTGCATTTGTTGTTTTCTTTTTAGGAAAACATCAAATTAGTTTTGAATAAAGAAGAGGTTTAAGCTCGAGAAATTTTATAATACAAAAAGAATAACTAATGATATATACAATAATTACTCTATGAATCTAATTTGAAGAGAAAAAAGATACATTGAATTACATACAGATCCATAAAAAATGATAAAAAGATTTTCACGTTTGCTTATTTTTTTCTTTTTTGTATTTCTTTCTCTTTTTTTGTGTCTATCTCTCTCCTCAAAGTAGATCCATAAAATAACTACTATATATATCACTAATTACTTGTTGTGTGTTATAAAATTTCTGGTTCGATCTCGAGATATTTTGAAAAAAAATCGAAAGGAAACTGTACCCGACCAGGGATGGACGTAAACTCGTAAGCTACCGAGGGTAGGGATAATCGTCCAGGTCTTATTGTGAAAGAAAAAAGCCGGCCCGCCACAAAAAACAAAAAAAATGTAAAAGACCACACTTTAATGAATTACATCCCCATGATAGATCAAACAAGAATGAGAGCTAATAAAGAACATCATTTCAAGGATTCGGAATAAATAATGGATAAATGAAGAAGGATTATTCAGTGCTGACAGAGTTGAAAAGAATTTGATTGTATTGCAGCTTTATTTACGAACAAAAAACTTTCATTCTAAACGTAAAATAAAATCACAAATTAAACCTGGCAGGGTTAAAAAAAGATGTACTTTATCTGTACCTGGTTCTGATAACTTGGTCACGCCGTAAAGCCTTCTTGCTAGAGGAGTGAATTTCATCCTCCTTGCCGTTCTATCTTAATCTTTTCCAGGGTCTCGGCAACTTCTTTCATTGACGGCCGAAGTCTGGGGCTTAATTGAAGACATCTAAAAGCTAATAGAGCCATTCGGAAAGCTTGTTTGGGGGAATATTTTCCCTCCAACCTGGAGTCAATACGTGATCTCAACTTTCTTCTATCTGATAGATACGGTCTAGCCCATTGCACTAATGATCTTTCTGAAGCTGGACGGTTTTTATCGTATACTCGCAAGCCTGTTAGCATCTCCAACAAAACAACTCCAAAACTATACACATCACTCTTTACATACAAACCCCCTAATCAACCAAATAAAATCAATGTCATGGAGACTGATAGCAGGTTTTAAACTGAATCAAAACATTATAATTTCAGGTTTAAAGTTTGAACGATGAAGCAAAGCATCATTCAACCATAGATGCATCCCAATTTAGAAATAAATAAATTACCTGTGGCAATGTATTCAGGAGCAGCATAACCCATTGTGCCCATAGCATGTCCTGATACGCATGATTCACAATCGGCAGGTCCCCATTTCGCCAAGCCAAAATCTGATAACTTCGGAGTGTAAGACTGCAAAAAAAAATTTGATGTTAGAAGGAACTCGTAAATTTTTATGAATCATATTAGTATTCTATTTTAGTTGAGAGTTTTTTGCCAACTTCCAAGAAATACTTCACTCATTTAGCCTATCCTCTGCCACCAATGACAGAGTGGATGATGATTGGTTGGAATTAAGATTGAAGGGCAAGCGAATATTCTTGGAAGACAATACAACATGAATCGAAATTGTCATGCTAAAATGGCAAGAAAACAACATGCTCATCATCAAATAGTCTCTACCTAATAGTATTTTTTTTTGGTTGATAATGCGTAGTATAAAGAATTTTACCTCATCAAGCAATACATTTGAGGACTTGAAATCTCTGAAAATTATTGGCTTCTCCATTGTATGCAAGTAAGCAAGGCCTTGAGCCATTCCTATTGCAACCTCAAGCCTTATATCCCATGGAAGCATTCGATTAGAGTCATCTGCAGAAGTATAAAACACTTAAGTGGATTCATTGGCAAAGACTCTGGAATATTTAGTTTAGTTTAGTTTAGTTTAGTAGTTCTTACTTCCAAACAAATGGTAATTTAAGCTTCCCTTTTGCATGAATTCATAGACAATAAGATGCTCTTCATTTTCGCGACAGTATCCCAATAGCTTTACAACATTAGGATGAGAAAGCCTTGACAAGAAACCCACCTCTGTCTGTACCAGTACACGACAACCAAATAAATACATCAAAATCATTCCTATTTGGATTGAAACAAGAGTCATATTGAACCACGCATGGAGTGCAAAATAGGACAGTTCTTCCCGTTCTAAATTCTTCCTACCGCATATGTAAACAGGACCTGATCATAAGACACATCAAATGATCAATAATTAAGACAGAATTACCCGCCACTGTCGATATCCTTGCTTGCTCCCTGAACCCAATCTCTTGACGGCAATGGGTCTTTTCCTGGTACCAGCCTGATGAGATTGCATCTTCTCCTTGAGCCACCCTTTATAGACCCTTCCAAAACCTCCTTCTCCCAGCATCATATTGCTCCGAAAATTGATAGTTGCTGCCTTCAATTGCTCGAATGTGAACTCTCTTAACCTGGAGTCTGAGCTAGTACCAACATCTGGAAGGGCCTCATCATCTAAGCCAACTAGGAAGTCATTGTTGTCAGGGACATTGCCCCAAATCGTTGCACTTGCTTGAACCATCCATGTTGAAAAATTTGTGGTTACCATGGAGACCCAGCTGCTTCCGGAGACATTGCTACCCAAAAAAGACGTATCATCTGATTATATTAAATTGATAAACTAGTTAACAAAGTGGAACTTGAAGGACCTGGACACCGAGATAATTGTATAAGTTTATGAATAACAGTTGCAAATGAATAGCAAAAACTTTCAAATACTAATTAATAGTTATAAAAACAAAACAAAACAAAACAAAAATAAATAATAGGACTAAAATTATGCTGGAAAACTGACCATCAAGATGTCCTACGGAGCTAGGAGCTGCGTCTGGATCTGGGATTGAGAATGGGGCTGGGCCAGGAGAAGGGGCGGCATCTGGGGGAGGAGGGTCATCATCAGGGGTTGGATTTGACTTATCAGAAGTGCAACTCCAGCAAATCCCCATCAAAAAGAAATGTATCTTCGGTGAATCAATAATGACTTTGATGATCATAGATTGACATAGAGATCAGAGAAGAAGGGCGTAGACTTGTTTGGTTGACTTGGATCGCGTCTTTGTTTATGAAGTGGTGAAGGGCATTTCTTTGTCGTTTCTAGTAAAATAATTGGTCCCAAGTCTCTCGATCTTTCAGGACAAGAAGGGTGCTTTAATTTAGAACCGTGCTTTTTCGTATGCTTGACAAAACCTGATATTACAAAGGAAATTGAACTCCACTAGACTCGATAGTTTTGTTACTTCTTGTCCTGTCTTGTGTTTGCTTCCCTACACAGTACAAGGAAGAATGAAGTTTTCAGAACAGTCTATTTAGATACTAAATTTATTAGTCCTTATATTTTATTTTAATGGCATAGTAATTTATTTAGAATTTTTTTTGGTCCCCCAAATTTTCAGTATATGTAATTTAGTTTCTGAATCAGAAAAGTTTTTTTTTTGCAATTAAGACCTTATATGTAAAAATTCATTGTAATAAAATATAGGTCAAATTGGTCAAATTTTACACAATCAAATTAAAAAAAAGACTATAAATAGGTAATAGATAACACGAAAACTTGTTCCGTCCTCGTAGGTAAAAATTTTTTCTTTAGATCCTTGGAATTGCACATTACATAATAAGCTTATTTTTTACTAACTCAATTATTGTGTCACAACAAGTCCACAAAAACGTATTCACAAAATCAGGTTACATGCATGGCAATTGTCGACCTAATAACTTAATTACTTACCCTATCTGTTAAAAAAAGATATTGTGCATACACATTAAGAAATTAACTTATAAACTCACATCTAGTCTATATCTTGTTTATCTGATTATTTATTATTTATTTAATACTCGTTAAAAATAATTTATCAAAATAATTCATTTTTGTCTTTTTAATTTTCAACAAAAGTTATGTTGATCTTTGAAATTGTTTTTTAACAATTTCGTCTTCATGTTGTTTATAAAAAAAACATTTTGGTTCTAAATATATAAAGTTTGTGTAATCAAATCTCTAATTGTATATATAATAATAATAATAATAATAATAATAATAATGGCTATTCTGTCTCCAATTTCAATAGTGTGCGCATAGGAAACTAAACTGATTGTTCATTTATCTAATAATTCTAGAATTTAAGAAAGTTCATTGGCTCTTACTTCCGAACAAATAATAGTTTAAACACCTCTTCGATTGACTTAGTATCAAAAAAAAAACTAAGGTAAAATAATCGATTACTATTCATTATATTATTTAAAATATTGTTTATTCAAACTTATTCGTATTATTTATCAAAACTCAATTGTATTATTAAGTAGTGACATTTTTATAGTTTTTAAATATTTTAAAGATATTTATTATAAAAATTTTCGTAAGATTACACTTTGATCTTTTTAAAAAAATATTATTTTTTTCATCCATAAACATTTTCTATTTAATTTTGATCACTCGTTTTTGTTTCATTTTAATTGCTTGGGTCCTTTCTTTTTTCTTTTTCCTTATTTTTAATTAAAAATTTTAAGGTAAAAAAATATTTAGAAAAAATAATTTACCGAAAACAATTTTTGCTAAAAATCTATTGATTTTGATATTTTTTATACTATTATAAATTTTTTAGTTTATGAATAGAGATAAATAAATTATATTTTTTAATAAAAAATCTATGAAAAATATAAAGAATAATTAGTTAAATGCAAAATTTTGATTAAAAAACTATAAAATTGAACATATTTTTATTCAATTTTGATTTGATATATTTTGATATATGCATATCATAATACGAAACATCAAGTTAAAATAATTTTTAAAAAATAGTTTTATGTGTTTTATCCGATCTGTAACATAACACAAATTAAAAAAAAAAAAAAAAAAAAACTAATGTGTTTGATAATACAATTCAAATTGATTTTTGTCCGGCATTTCTATGTTCTCTCAGTAATAACAATTATCAAGAAGGTGAAGAAAAATTAAAAGAAGTCATCCCAGCAGCATAAAGAAGAAAACTTGAACATCATCTAACATTAAGCTTTGTGAGGAAGAAGGCGAACTGGAAGTCCCATTGCAGGTCTTGGGGTTGGATTGAATACTATCTTCTCATCTGGAATCAATTTAGCAAATCTGAACCTTTTCACCAAGTTGTGCATGAAAACAAGAATTTCCACTCGAGCATATTCACTTCCAGGGCACATCCTGGGTCCTCCACCAAATGGAATAAATGTGTAAGGGGCTGGACCTTTCCCTTCAAATCTACTAGGATCGAACTTTTCAGGTTCAGGAAAGTATTCTGGATTTTTATGCGTTGAGCTTGCACTCCAATACAACTGCAACAAAAACATAGTCAATTTGAAATTGGCACGGCCATGCTCCTGATCAAGGCTTGGCACGGCTTAAACATTGAGAAGAGCTTATAACAAAACAATGGAGAAGTATTTTTAGTCCCTAGATTATCACCTTCTCTTAAATTTCATCCTGAATCATCTACTAATTTTATCAACTGCATCCCAAATCTATTCAAATATGAATAATGTAGTCACTCAGTTATTTAAAAAAACGAAAACCAATACATTAGTTTACTGTTTAATTATTGGTACTATTTCAAATATTATTCATCCAGACTCATGCGCACTATTACTTTTACTATATAATTATTTTATTTTTTTGTAATTTTCAAAAAAAATTTAAACATTTATTATGAAAATTTTCGTGACATTACACTTTACTCCCTCTTTTTTAAACATTGTTTCTACCGTCTTCAAAATTTTTAATTTTATTTTTGTCCCTCTTTTTTGTTTCGTTTTGATACTTTGGTCCTTTCTTTTTTTTTAATTAAAAATTTTAAGGCAAAAAGATGTTTAGAAAAAATAAATTACAAAATACTTTTTTAAATAAAAATGTAGATAGAGATAAATGAATAATATTTTTTAATAAAAAATTATGAAAATATAAAGAATAATTAGTCAAATATAAAATTTTAATAAAAAAATTATAAAATTAAATGAATTTTTATTCAGATTTGGTTTGATATATTTGAGAAGATGCATAATATAACACAAAGCATCAAATTGAAATAATTATTTTATGTGTTCCGTCCGACCAACAACGTAGCACGAATAAAAAAAATTAGTTTCTTTCTATTAATTTTCAGATCATTAAGATTTTTAACCGTTTCTGTAATTTCATGATACTTGGTCATTAACTTGTCAAAGCATACACTATACAAGGAACTAAGATTGGAAATAAATCGTCTCATAGTTTGAAAAAATAATTGCAATAGAAAGCAACTTACCTTCCAGCCCTTTGGGATGGAGAAACCTTTGAAAGCAAAGTCATTGATGGCTTCTTTAAAGTTACCAGGGAATGGTGGTGAGAGTCTCATCATTTCACAAGCTACATTCCATGAATATTTCATCTTTTGAATATCCTCCCAATTCAACAACTCACCAGTTTTTTTGGATTTGATGATATCAATTTGTTCTATCAAATTGTAAACAGTTAAACAAGTTAGTTCTGATGATGATAAAAATCTAAAATTTCAGAAACAATTTTTTTTTCTTGGGGGTTCTAGTAAAGACGGTATTATAAGAAGAAAAAGTTGAGTAGAAAATACAATTACCCTTGTAAACTCCTTCGTAGATATAAGGCAGCTCCGCAAGGTATTTGACAACGAAGGTACAAGCAGCACTGGTGCTTTCATGTCCACCCATCAATAATGCAAGAATCTTGTCAGCTATCTCCACCTCGTTCATGTACTGTCCATCCTCATCAAAGCTTAACATCATGTGTGACAATATGTCTTGTGCGGGGGATGCCTTTCCTTCAGCAAGATCCTTCTTTCTTTGTCTGATAATGGCCGAAAGCTCAGTTCTGATGAAGTTAGAGGCCTTGATGGCACGATTAAATGGAGTTGCAGGCAAATCAATGGGGATGGTAAAAATACCAGAGGCTATATGGTCGAACGGGTGGGAAAATCTAGCTATGTGGCCAGGATCTTCAATACTTAGAAACAAGTGACAAGCCAACTCGAATGTGTAGCTTTTTGCCAGAGGGAAAACAACTACTTCAGCTTTATTTTCCCAATCCAAGGCGAAGTGTCTTTGAGTAACCATATCCATGATTTCTATATACCTCTGCAGGGCCTCAGGTTTCAAGAATTGAGGAAACAACTTACGCATCCGTTTTGCTTCTTCTTTGGGTGACCTTTCCACTGAGGATGGAAAGATCTTGTTCACAAATTCAGGCCACCACGTTTCGACAAGTTTGTTCTCATTGGAGAATAAGAACTTGTTCCCTGAAGCACCACTCAAGATTACTACAGGCTGACCAAAAAGGTTTGTTTTGAATATTTCGGATGAATATTTACGAATTCGATCGAAAATGAAGTTTTCAGGGCAACCTTTCCATCCTTTTGCCAAGAAATCAAGGCTCTCTCCTATAAAAGGGAGGCCTGGATTGCCTGGAGGAAGGTTAGGGAGTTTATGTTGGCATCTGTGCCTGTAAATTATTGCAATAAGCTTGGAGAGAATAACGAAGGAGACAAAGAGGAGGAGGTTGAAGGAGAAAATCTCCATGTTTTGAAAGTACTACTCTTGTTTCTGTGCCTGAGACTGCTTCATGTTTATAATTGATGGCTTTGTGCCAATTTTATATGGACCACAAATCTCTACACTTAATGGATATTTTTCTAGAGAAATTTATTTAGGAATAAAAAATGATAATATAGAGCAAATATATTTTCAAATCAATTTATGCGTCAATTAAAATTTAATATTTTTTAAAATGGTTTTAATAGCTTCCAATATTGATGCATTCATAATAATTTAATAGATTTTTTTATGCTAGTCTCAAAATTTTAACTAAAAAAAATAACGAAGAAAACATATATTTTCTTAATTATTTTACCAATCCCTTGAAATATTGGTTGTCTAATCCAATAATGAAAATTAATAATATCGAAAGTTAATTAAGATTATCATTAATGGTTGGTTTGTCATTTTTTGTTTGTTTTTTTCTTTGGAGGAACATACATAGATGTTTTCACTTTTAATAAACTGACAAAAAGTGGTTGATAATTACAAAAAATTTCATCACAAGGGGACATGATTCCTGATTACTGAATTGCTCTATAGTTTTATATGGTGATGGCACAAAGACGAAATTTATTAAAGAAATGCCGACCTACGATTTCATGAAATTACAATTTATCTATTTGTAATCTTGTGCCTTGTTTGTTATTCCTAAAGAAAATTAAAGAAATGCAAGATCACTATATATAAAAGTTATTCTAGATCCAAAGATTTAGATTAATTCATTATTATTTAATTAGATGCATAAAACAGACACAATTATCAAAGGAATTTTTTTATATAAAAAGATTTAAAATCGAAACTATTTATTTAAAAAAATAGAATTTTTTTTATTCAAGTCAATCTTTTTAAATGCATGATAACTATTTCAACTCTTTTACCATGTCTAACTATATCTAAATAAGTATCGTTTAACATGTAATATAATCATGGTCAAGAATCAGTCACGTTTGAATATCTCCATGTCCCACTAAAAGTGTTTCTGAAAATGGCACATATGATCGAAAAAGATAAAATCATTTCAAAAAATATTTCTCCCTATTTTAGCTGTACCTCAAAACAACATGAAACTTAAAAAAAAATAACTAATAACACTTATTTTATAAAAAAGAAAAAAAAATAGAAGAGGGAGAATTTAAAAAAAAAAAAAACCAAAAAAGAGTAAGAAGAAATGTAAGATATCAAAAAAAAAAAAAAAAGATTGAAAATAATTTAAGTAAGGGATTGATGTCTCAATTTGTTTTCATGTAATTAGATAATTCTTCTATTTTTCTTTATATTTTTAATTGAGTTAATTTTATTATTTAGTATATGTTAAGTTTCTAAACTATCCTTTTAATAAGATTTCTATATCAAAAATGCTGGAATTAATAATCAGGTAATTTGTATATGATTATTTTTTTTATTTTCAAAATGTCTTTGTAATCTAGACAAATAGAAGATTTTTTATGTCCAAATTATATGACTAATTTTGGTTGTTTAACTTGAAAACTTTCTAGAAAGATAGATTAAAACCTTAAAATATATTAAAAGATAAAATTGACTCAATTCAGAATATAAAAACATATTAAAAAAAATTATCTTATTATATAAAAACATATTGAACCATTAATTTTTAGGGATAATTACTAGAAAAACCTTATAAAAAATATTTTATCTAAAAACCCTACAAATTTATTTTTAAATCTCTCAAACCCAAAATAATATTTGTCTTATCAAAAACACCTAATAATTAATACTAGTGTTAACTATTGATTGTTTTGGTAAGAAAAATATTGTTTTAGGCTTGTGAGATTTAAAAATATTATTTTGTATTTGGGGGATTTAAAAACACAATAGTGAATTTTTTAGATTGAAGATTTTTTAGAAGGTATTTTGATAATTATCCCTAGTTTAAATAAAACAATTATCTTTCAAGATATGTATTTCTATCACGCACCGATGATCATGTTTTATTTAATTAATGCACTAAAATATGTTATTTATTCATCTTGTAATTTAATTTAATTATTTGATAAAAAATATTGAGTTTTAATTAATTAAAAACTAGTATTACCGATGTTTTTTTTTATCGATATCTTAGGATTTAAGAAATCACTAATGTTCATAATCATATATATATTATTTTTCTTATTTGTATGATAACCCTTTGATTAATTTACAAGAAAATGATAAGAGTCTTATTTCATCAACATTAATTAGTTAAATTGTCTTGATTGCTCTAGTTACTAGATAGTAAAATTAATCTCGTAATTAAGGAAACAAACGGTCGATAAAAAAAAAACTCTAATATAAGGAATTTTTTTGGATAATAGAAAAAAAAATAGTCGAATGTTAGTGTTTAAAAGTCAAGAAACATCAAAAACTTTTTTTTCATCCAAATGCAATAAAAAAGAACTTGAATTGATCATGAAAAAAATACTAAATATCAAACTCATTAAAAACTATGAAATGAGTTTATTATTAGATAAAAACTATAAAAAAAACTCTAAAAAATTCATCAATTTATTTTTTAAATCACTCAAACATAAAAATAAAAATATTTTCTTACCAAAAGACCCAATAATTAACTAGTGTTAAGTTAGAGGTTATCTATTGGGTGTTTTGGTAAGAAAAATATTATTTTGGGCTTGAGAAATTTAAGAATAAATTGATGGGTTTCTTGGATATAAGATTTTTTTAGAGGATTTTTCTAGTAATTATCCCTAATTTTTAAGCATTTAAGCAAGATAATTAAAAAAAGAAGAAGAAGAAAGATTAAGCTTACAAGGAGAGAGAATGTAAATAATAATTAAGAGGAAATAAACTTTAAAAATATAATATAATAAGATGTTACTCCAAAAGAAAATTCACAAATGAGGATATATTTAAAACTAATAATTTTACACATGTACAAATACATCTTTCCATTTTTATGGTATACTATTTATTGAAAACTAATATTAATTTAGTTTCTGTCTAGCTAGCTTCTTTTTTTCTTTTTCTTTTTTCATTAATTTGTCTATTTAATAATGAATACAATATCTTTTGGCCGGGATTCTTGGAACTGCCAGGTTTCCATATCTTATGGATGGATGGAAGCGTGCCAATTACATAATCTGCTTAAATTCTTTGACTTAAACTTAAAATTACTGAACTAACTCTATTTTATTGCCGTATTGCCAACCATTTAAGCTTGGGCAGATTTGTTCTTGCCCCATAATTCAATAACAGGTGATGTTAGTAATTGATTCAATTATTGAATTTAATTAGTTCTACAATTTGTTTTGGCAGCTTGATTTTTTTTTTATTGCGAAGATAAGTGTATATATATTTTTTTTGGATTCCAAAGGTACCACAAGTCTAAAAGTTTATACTAATCCTTCTTTATTATATCGGATGTACAAGACATGTATAATTATCCAATGAGTTTTCTACAGCATACGTAATAACTCGAATATAAAATCATTTGTTTAATCAATTAGAGTTTTTTGTGTTAATAATTAATAGTTAGCAAATTAGGGGAGAAAGTTGTATTAATACAACGAAATGAATTGATCACTATTATAAATACGAGGGACTACTCTGATCTCCTCTAGTAATGATGCCTTTTTAGGCATTATGGTTATATCTCATATCTCATTAATGACTAACTATTAATACTAATCTTCTGATTAAATTAATAACCACTGAATAACTTAAAACTGATCATATTATCAAACTTTAAATCATGCACAAACCTTCCAAAAAATAAGTAATTGATTGAAGACATAATGACTAATATATTACGGATTGAGATTTGGAGAATCGGTGTTTCAATCCCAAGAAGGAACAAAACGAATTCTGACCTTGAAGACCCTCAATAACCGCAACTTCTGTATGATCTGTGCACTAAATTGATTCAGAAGCCAATTGAATTGATTTCCTCAATAACCTTCCAGCGAATAATTTGTCATATTTTAAGTAATTCTTTAATTTATCCTTTTAATAAATAATTTCATTTAAGATGAAAGTATCTTTACATGAAAAACTAATAACCAATTTAATTTATTATAAGAAAAAAATATTTGAAAAAAATATTCTGATACCTTTCAATAATGTGTCGCACATGAAGGTGTCTGACACACATACAAATTGCAGAGATTATCTTGGATGGGTTGTAATGTTGGCCCCTTCAACGGTCTGAAAGTGACTTTAAAGCAACAAATGGTTCACTAAAACATGTCCTTGTTTAGGCGTCCAAAAAATCGAAAGGAGATTTTCTATAGATACCGTGTGATACTTGTGATCAAACAGGAGAGTGTAATTCTTAGTCCAACACACATCTTCTGCTGCATTACTACTCTCCTCACACTCGTCTAATTACAACCTTTGTGTGAAATCAAAAAGTCGCACCGCCAACAGGAAAATGACAGTATTAATTACGAAAATTACAGGTTATTGGTTCTTACTTCCAAACATATGGTAATTTAAGCTGCCTTTATGCATCATAATTCATTCACAATGTTCAGGTGAGAAACCCTTGCTAAAGAACTGTCCTCTGCCATCAGGAAATTGTTGGAGTGGGAAATGTCGGGCATGGAAAAAACAGAAAAGATGGAAGTAAGATATCAATAGAAGTCCATAATACGAAAGTGGTGTGGGCTGACCCAATACTATGATAAATAAGGGAGTCTTCCAAGCAAAAAGGGCCCAACAAGAGTTTAAGCCTAAGAGAAGTTCAGCAATAATAAATTCTACGCCCATAGAGCCCAACAAAAGAATTAGGACCTCTCAAGTCTACAAGGTGAAGATGGGTCTTTGCATGCGAGATGGTATGGTATAGAAAAAAAAGGCCCACAAAGTGACAGGTCCTTGCACATGAGATGGCATGCTATGGAAAACACCGCTGGTAAATGAGTTAAAGAGATAAAGTACTGTGTGTCCACATGGCAATCTTAGGAGAGTGTTGGAATGAAAAAAGTGGCACGTTTAGTGTGGATTGGTTCAATGTTAAGATGAATAAAGTGTGATGGATTTTCAAATAAAAAATAAATTAGAGAGTATGTGTTCACCTGATAATCTTAGAAAAGGATGACAGTTGCTAATAATTACAACCTTAGAAAAGGATGACCGTTGTTGGCGAGGGAGAGTGTTGGAGTGGGAAATGTTCCACATTTGATATAGAATCTCTTGACAGCAATGCGGCGTCTTCTGATGCCCCGAGATGACACCTTTTCCTTGAGTGAACCCTTGTAGACACCACCAAAACCTCCCTTTCCCAGAAGCCTACTTCTTCTAAAATTGAAGGTAACGGCCTCCAATTCTTCGAATGTAAAAGCTCTCAACTGCGACTCAATAGCTGTTGTCCCATCTGGAAGAGGCCCATCATCTATTCCAACTAAGAATTCATTGTCCTCATCCCACATAGTTGCAAAGGCTTCAGTTGCTTGAGATATCCATGTTGAAAAATTGGAGGTTGCAATAGAGAACCAACCGTTGCGAGAGACACTGCTCGCAAGAAAAGATGCATCACCTGATTGCATTAACAAAATAAATCACTAGAATGAACATGTCCAAGTCAAGTAGAAGGGAAGTGCATCATGTATACAAGAAGAAAAACCAAGAAAAACGAAGAATATAACATAAGGTGGTGAACTTACCATCAATGAGGTGGCCAATGATGCTCTGGTCTGGGTCTGGATGTGGGATTGGTTTTGGCTCTGGCTCTTGCTCTTGCTCCTGCTCCGGCTCTGGGATTGGAGCTAACACTTGATCAGACCTGCCAGCAATACAACTAATGTAATTCCCCATCCAAAAAATCCAATCTGTACTCAAGTGATTATGACTTATGAGCTTAGCTTGGCAGAGAGAAAAGTAGGAGGCTTCCTTGTTTTGACTTCGAGGACTTTGTTTAATGCAGTAAACGAGACATTTCTCCTCCTGAAGTCTTCCCTGCAATTGCACTTTCCATGACAACTTGTCTTGGTACACGTTCTTTGAATATCAAAACGCGTTAATGCAAGTAAACGGGCATAAACTATAAAGCATACGAGGTTGGTTTGATATAAAATTTGAGCAGCACATTTGGTGGGAAAGAAACTCCCATGAATCAGACCCCACATCTCTAAATCCTGCCAAATAGCATTAGGTCAACCTTAGGGTAAACGAAAATCATCTGCTTCATATCCATGTTTTGCAAGTTAATACTTGCTGATCTTGGTTTCAACAGCATGGAATAAATAGAGGTCAGAGAGGTACTTTTCACTACCATCATCAATCGATATTGGAGACCCTGACTCAGCTGGGAGATTTCCTCCAATGGAGAGTTAACTGGAAAAAGCTATCTGTTTTACACATTCAGTGGGATTTTGTGATCTCAGGATCCAACTAAAATAGAAGCACACATTTTCATTTCATTAAACTACTCAAATATTGGCTTGATGTTGCAGCTGTCACTGCTTTGAGACTATATAAAGCAAAATTCAAGGGAATAAACTACACTGAATATTGCTCAAGAATGACCTGTATAATTTATTCTATACTCTAACCTTGGATTCATTACAAAAATTATAACGTACAAGTGATTTGTAATTTTGTATGACATGTAGTTACATTTCAAAATCAGTTTAAGCACTGCAGTACTACCATGCAAACAGTGAGGCAGAAAGGGGCTTGGCAGGAGAGGATTCTGAAGAAAAGCTTCAAGTTACGCGAATCAGGAGGACAACCATGATGAAAATACATGTCATTAAGAACATCGCAAGCCATGTGAAGCACGAGGTCTTTGAAGTCTTCGAGTAAATCGACATGGTCCGGACATTGGCATGACCAGTGCTGGCCAAGCTCTGCTCAACAGCCTTCTCTGTAGAATCAAGTATCTGCATTCCAACCACAATCAGGGTTTGAGACTGATATAAGCCACAAATTAAGTGCACAAAAAACTAATAAAGGGCACAGGGCAGTCCAATGTGGCTTAAAAACACAATAGATTGAGTCAGGATACAGGAAATAAAAAGGAAATACTCCTACCAAAATCCACATCAATTATGCAATCACAAAAGACATACAAACCACTTCACCTACCCTATTAGTTTCTAAAATCATATGTCATATTCAACACAATCATTATTGAACGTTCTAGAGAACGAACACAGATAATAGATTGTCCAAACACGAAACACCCCCCCAACCCCCAACACACACACACACACACACACACAACCACCCCATGCAATGCTGGACCATTTTAACTAAAATTGCATACTATACAAAAGGAATAATGCATGCTTAACTAATGAATCTTACAATTGTAGAAGTAAGAAACGATTAAAGACTCACTACGATTCCAAAAGTCATACCTTTTCAGTGTTTTGTAAGGACTGGCTCATCAAGAGACTACTCTCTTTAAGTTGTTGTGCCAATCCAACCATTTCATCTGTCAAGTCATCTTGAAGCTTTCTGTTAAACAAGACAATAAATAACATTAGATGGAATACCAGCACGAAAACAATGGGGAAGAAGTTAAAGTCAACTATTTTTCTCCTTCATCCTCCAAAATTTCTCTTTCATTTCAGAAATTGCGCTGTAGATTTAAGATAAATATAGCTATTGTGATATATATAACAAGTAATCATGAGTGACTGAATGAAATCATCTTTCACAACCTTATTTCTAGCCCAGGTACTCAGTTTAGCATCAAGAGAAATGTACAATAGTACCTGTGCTTTTCAATGTGTGCTTGTGCTGCAGCGTCCAGTTTAACAGGAGCTGATGCATCGGCCTGAATAGATTCCCGAGTTCTATCTTCAATATTCGAGGATGGCCTGCACAATGAACCAAGCAATTCCAAACGAAATAAATTACAACCTAAAATAGAAACTCAAAAGCTTCCATAAATCACATAGATCACCGCCCAGATTACTTACGCAAATCTCCTCCTCAAGCCTGGAGAAGGTGCAATATGATCTTCTCCATCTGCCTTAGAAGGACTTTCTTTTCCCGAACCCCCAGCAACAGTTTCACGGGGAACCTTGATTTCAGGCTGTGATTCAAACACAAACAATCAAGAACAATAACCTCCAATCCAACATCTACTCCGACCCAGGTATACAGTAAACTAAAAATCCAATCCCATTGGCAACAACAACACTTAATTAAATAAACTCAACCAATTTCTCATATAGACAAAAACAAACAAATTGCCTTAACAATTAACTCACCAATGGGTCAACTAATTTAGAAGCAATCGCTTCAATCTTCTCTGAATAATCATTCAACACCGCCTTCGAAACTCTAGCGAAACAAATTCAAGAAAACATAAAAACTCAAACTTTACAAAACCCAGAAAACTTATTGAAAAAAGAAACAAATTCAACAATCATACCAACCTTGGTAAATCATCAGCCGTTCTCTCTTCAGCCAATTGTTCCAATTGTTCTCTTAAAGTAGCAATATACTATAAAGAAAAAAAAACATGCAAACTCACTGCAACATACAATATGATTTTTTTTTCTAAAAAAAAAAGCAGATTTTTCCCAAGAAATCGAAGAAATAGAAAACGAGTTCTGCTTACATGGACGAGTTTTGCTTGGTTTTCCTGTTGAGGAGCAGATGAGAGTAATCTTCTTAAGTTTATTTCAGTTTTGCTGATTCCCATTTTCCTCCAGAGACAGATCAAAAAGCCAAAAAGGGAAAATCAAAGGTGAAACTGAAAGGGCGACAGGGGAAACTGAAATTCTGCAGAAGTTTGATTTTGAACTTGATCGGTGAGGACATGTTATTTTTTGTCGAACGATGTTCTAGCCCCTGTAGATTCAGAAATATTACATTTTGATCCTTATAATGTAAATTTTCCCAATGTCAATCTCAAAGTTTTCAAAAGGTTTCAATATTCCCTACTTTCACCCCATCCTGTACCTAAACCCATTTATAGAAGTTCGTTTGTGTTTATTTTCAAGCCAAGATTAGGGTTTGTTATATATTCCAATATTCAAGGAGTATGCAATTCATCTATTTAAATTAAATCATATATACTTATTTATAATGTATTAAAATTGATACGAATTATTAATAAGTAACTATGGTTTTATTTCAATATATGAAATACGAAATTATCAATATTCTTCAAAGTAGTATTGGTTTTTCATAGATTGCTCCTCTCATTTATATATATATGGAGTGATTAAGGTTATCAATAAATTGGATCATGATTTGAATTTAATTCGAATCTTATTAAGTTAAATTAATTTAGTAAGTAATTTTTTTATCCAAATTTAATTATAACTTGAATCGTTAACTTGTTTATTAGATGGATTGAATACGAATTTATCTTGATTCGATTCCATAATAACTAAATTCAAAATTAAAAATAATAATAAGTAAAAATATTAAATTTTAAATATGAGATTATGTTGAAATTTAAGATTTAATTAAATTTGTTACCTTTTTACTCTTTATGCATTAACTAATTATAAAAAAAATATTATTTATCTTTTCTAACTTGTTTATATATATACTACGAATTACAATAATAGCTGCCGTCGGGTTGAGTAATGACTATGTCCAAAAATAATTATTTTATTTGTTTCAAATTTAAACTAATTTTTTTTTTTATGAATTAGAATTCATTTTAGTATTTCAATATTCCGCATAAGAAGTATAACTCAAACTAAATAAGATGGTACAAATAGATAATAGACTTTTTTGAATGAACTATTTATAACACTTGGATTTCTCAACACGCATGCGCCCGTGCGCTCTCACACACCCACACATATTAGTCATTTCATTTATTGAAAAAAAATATAAAAATAAGCAGTTAAATGTTAGAATTTGATATATTAAAAACCATGTATTATTAAAAAAATCAATGAGGATTTGATTTAAGGAAAATTAAGAAAATACAACATTAATAGTACTTATTAAGTTATGTGATATTAGTAATATTGACAAAGTAATATGCATTGATAAGTTTTTATAAAATAATTTATTACAAATATATGATAATATTAATAGTTTTTTTTCTTTCTTTTTTACGAGCCTTGATTTGTAATACTATTATCTTGAAATTCAAACTAACAAATATTCATCTTACTACAACATGGACAAAAAATGAAGTTTATTTTTTATTATTATTATTATTTAGTTTTATCGTGCTTTCTATTTAGTTCAAAGTAAACTTTTATTAAAATTATTTGATTTTATGCTTTTGACTTGTGTGGTATTTTGATTTTTTTACAAAATTAATAAATCAAATGTTATATATATATAAGTTGAAATATATTTTACATATATTCAAACATTATATTACATGTAATAAGTATTTTTTTTTTTACAAAAATTAAGTTATAAATCCAATAGAGTTTCGATTCTAACTCTATTCAGGATTCAGATTTTCAAAGTTCGATAAAAAAAATTACAAGTTTCAATTTAATATGTTTTATTAAATAAATCAGATTTAAATGTAATAATATGACCTAATCCCAATCCGACCTCTTAAAAAATATTTAAGTAAAATCCTAAATCTAGAAGAATGGGGCGCATTCCAAAATGGCTAGGCCTAAAATGCAGGCTGCCGTAGCTAAAAGATGTTCAAGTAAAGCCCTAAATCTAGAAACCTCTAGCAAATTAGACCTCGAGACGATCGAAATCATTTTTCTTTTCCACATATATTGAACACGAATTATTTTTTGAATATTTGGAGTGGAATTATTCTTTTCAACTCATCAAAATTCCATATTCTCACAAATTAATTATACTCCCTTTAAAAACAAAACAACATCCATTAATTCCAAAAAAAAAAAAAATCAATTTATGTATAATTTATGTGGCTAGGTTTATATCAATTTGATTTAAGTAATAATTTTTATATTCAAACACAACTTTAAGGTTAATCTTTTATTATTATTATTATGATTAAGCAGTATATTTACATCTAATTTTTATGATATTGATTAAATGAATCTAAAATGATAATATGAAAAATAAATTAATATTCTCAAATTAATTTTTGAATATTAAAAATAAATTTCTATTCATTTAGATTTTAACCAACCATTACAGCAAATTAAATTTATTTATTAAAAAAAATAAAATAAAATTCTCCCCAAATCTTTTTTTTTTTTAATCAAGCTTTAGAAAAATAAAGGTACAATGAAACATGTTTATTATTAATAATTATTAAAAACTCCTAAATTATAAGAAATTAAGAATAATACTTTATTTATTCGTCGTCGTCGTCATTATTTTTTTTATTGGTAGAAAAAATTTGCTGATATATATATATATAGCTGTATACGTGGCGTCCCTTCACAGGAAGTTGCGCACCAGCCAAGTACGCTACTCGCGTACGAAGAGAACAGAATGGGTCTTCTTTCGTCTTTATCTATATCTCTTCATCTTTACCTTTGAAAAGTCTCAATCTTTGGAACTTAAACCCCAAGAAAAACCAGACCAAACAAACAAACAAACCTTCAAAGGAAAACCCAAATCACAAGATAGATCTGAACAACGTAAGAAGCAGCAAAGATGGCATATGTGGATCATGCATTCTCAATAACTGATGAAGATTTAATGGTGGAAACATCATATACAGTCAATAATAAGCCTCCTATCAAAGAGATTGCTCTTGCTGTTTCTCTTCTTGTTTTTGGTGTTCTTGGTATTGTTTTGGGTATTTTCATGACTTACAACAATATTGGCGGCGATAGAGTTCATGGTAATTTCAATTTCTTTGCTTTTTTTTTGGTTAATTTTTGTGATTTTTTTTTAATGCTTGAAGTTAAAATTTTGTGCTTTTTGGTTGGAGCATGTTAGAATTGAATACAAAATTAAAAAACCCAGTTTGATTTTTTTGCCTGAATGATAAGATTTCTGATTTAGTTGGGTTTTCTTATGTGTTTTTTTTTTTTTTTTCTTATTTGAGCTGTAGGATTAAATGCAAAATTAAAAACCCAGTTCAGTTTTTACCAGGATTAAAAGATCCCTAATTTAGTATTCAGTTTTTAATGTGGGTTCTTGCAAAAAATTAGACATTAAATCTTGGGTTTTATTGTTTGATTTTGGGGGTTTTTAATAAAGGGAAGAAAAGATAGGATTTTAGAGGGTATTGAATGGCTGTAAAGTGTTATTATTATTATTATTTTTTATTAATTATTGTGACTCAGATGTGATTGGAATTGAAGTTTTTTGTGATTGAATCAGGGATTTTCTTTGCAATATTGGGACTGGTACTGTTTATTCCAGGGTTTTATTATACAAGGATTGCATATTTTGCGTATAAAGGATACAAGGGCTTCTCTTTCTCCAACATACCGCCTGTGTAGTTGATGATAAGCAAGCTCAAGAAGCTGGAATCTTGTATCCCCACGCCTGTGTGCATATCTTTCTCGGGTTGTGCTTCTTTCTTCGATATGCCTTCTCTTGTTTTTTTTTTTTTTTTTTTTTTTGTTTTTTGTTTTTATAAATAATTATGTGTATTAGATGCTAGTTTTCTGAAGAATTGATTTGTCAATGTAATGTAATGGGATTGTGTTTCCATGATTATGAAGTATGAAATATAGTGTTCACTTTATGTCTCTGCGTTATATTTCTCTGATTTCATCCTATAGTAATTAGGTTTTGGGTCGGAGGATTTTTTTTTTCCTCCTATGGGTTCAAGGATTTTCCATTAATAAGAAACATATTGTGTCTTCTAAATTACATATATTATATGGCAATTGATACATAATGCAAAAAAAAAAAAAAGGACTTTACCATAAATCCGACACACAATTATATAATTAAATATAAATAATCAAAAGGTAAATAATCAATTGTTTAAAATATAATGTACGAAATACCAAAAGCAATATGTGTCGATGTCATCGGAATCAAAATTTCTGCATCCTTTTTTCGTTTATAAGAGGAAAGAGCTTTTCATACCTCCATAACTTAAATTGATTTCTTACAATTTTTTTTTTTAATCTTATATGGTATCTTATATCTAAAAGCATAGATAAAATTCAGACTAATTTCTCGCTATTATATCATATATATAAAACGATAATAACTATTTAGGAAGTTTTTTATATACACAAGAATGTAAATTCAAGACTACTTATTTAAGGAACTAGAACTCTTTCTATTCAAACTAATTATTTTGGATGATTTTTTTACAAAATTTTAAGCGATCTATTTTGTTAAAATACTTATAATTAAAATCTATTGTGTAAAACTTCGAATCAATTTCAACTGTAAAAAAAAGAAGTATTTTTTTGAAACATATGAATAAAAAAATATTGATATAATATAATAACTAATAACTTTTTTAATCTTAATAAAAAGTCATCTCATTTACTATCTTTATTACGATTTCCTCTTATGTCTAGTGTATTGAAAAAAAAAAAATAAAATAAAATAAAATAAAAAATAAAAGAGGACTAGTACTTCTCTAACAATTTCCTTTGATTTTGTGTAAGCACCAAAGTGTTAACACGCAAATGGAATAGGGTTCATTGTCCCATTCATTGACAGCCGCTGTTTTAGTTTTGTGTACTACATTACGAGCCAATAGATTTTGACAAGGACAGCATTAAAACACCGAAGTGCCAAACTGAGGTCAAGAAGGTTACTTTTCTCCTTCTGTCAAAAGTGAAAACAATAGGCAAAAGGAATTTTATTCGGTGCCTAAACTCTTCAATGGCGACGAGGATAAGATTGCCATCATTCTTGGCCACAGCAGCAACACTAACAGTACTTGCAGCATCAATCACTTGGGCATCTGGCACCCCTGAAGCTACTTTTGTCAAAAAGACCATCTCTTCTCATCAGATCGTCATCTTCTCCAAATCTTATTGCCCGTATGACTCTCTTTCTTTCTCTAGCATAAACACACACAATCACACATTTTGGTGCATTCCAGAATGAAAACTCTTAATCCATTTAAGATTAACAAAACCCATTAAGGTTTTGCATTGAAATTTTATCTCTTGGTATTGACTTGTGGTGTCAAGATCCAAACCAGAGACTTAACTCACCTTGTCTTTTATTATTAATTTGCTTGTATTTTACTTTTCTTTTTTGTTGTTGATTCTGATATGTTATAATCTAGTCTATCCGATTTTATGGGATAACTAGGACCGATTTGGGTCAGGCTTGACATTGTGATTTGTGTCCATTGATGATTGATGGAAGAGTTCATGGCATAGAATATGAGATGTTCTCTTGTTTTGTGGAAGTAGTTAACAGAGAAAAGAATCATTATTAGACTTTGTTTCTCTCTAAACTCAACAAATATCATGTATAGAGGATCTTAAACTTTCGATTCTTCCTCACATTTGCAGAAACTGTAGTTGTTGGTATTATGAGGAGCCAGTTTTTCAAATGCTTGAGAATAGGTACTCTAGTTTTGCGTCTTTTCTGCGCCTAGGACCTTTATATGAGTGGTCAATTGGGTGGGTGGATGGGGTTTGAGAAATGCTTTTCGCTTGAATATTGTTGGCTGAAAGTTTTGATTGCTTATTGACTTCATGGATCAGCTGTTGTGTAATTGTACGAGCCACAAGGAATTCATTGAAAATTTAACCTTTTTCGGTTGGAGTTATGGAACTTGTTCAGTATGTTGTGAATCCTGTGAAAAGACGAAAATCATTTGGCGATTCAATGACTTGCCTGAAAGTCGTGAGTTCTAATGGTGCTTTTGCATTTTTGTGGTTTATAAACAGGATTGCATTTGTCATGGAATTATGGAAAGAAAATTGGTTGTTCTTGAGACTGTAAATATGCTTTTTGAACAACTTCAACAAAAGACAGTTATGATTTTAATTAAAAAACTTGGGGCACTCAGGTTAAAATAATTTTTAGCCATTTATATCTGCTTCCTTTATTCTGCAGGTATTGTAAGAGGGCTAAAGGTGTTTTCAAAGAACTGAACCAGAAACCACATGTTATTGAGCTTGATCAAAGAGGTCTGTTCTCAGCTACCTCTTCACCGACTCCAATAAGTGTAGGAAAACATTACCTAATTGTGTACAAAAATTGAACTTGTTGATTAAAGAATGTGATTGCCTTTTATGAACCCACTAAAGCCAGTCCTGAGAGCAAGCATTAGCAGATAGAATGACTGTTCTTCAGCTTTTGTTTTCATGGAAAGGCTGCTCAAGGTCTTTCTTGTGCAAGACAAGGTTTTTTGCCTTGCACAAAGCAAATGTTGCCTATTAACAAGTTGGAAGCTTAACTTGTTGATAGCAAGCAGAACTTTTTGATAGAATTAAGAATCAATTTCCTTATTGAAAGGTAAAAAAGGGGATGCCGGCATGGAAACAACAAGAAGAAAGAAGTAATAGCTAATCTTGAGTAAATAGGTGGACAGAAAATTAAGTAGAGGTAGCATGCCGATGAATTTTGTACTCATTTGCCCAATTATACTGCATAAATGACCTGCTTTTGGTACTGAACTGACTATTGAGCTTTATTTTCAGCACCCACTCAACCATAAACATGTTTGCTAGATGTGTTTTCTTCCACTTCTAAATCTAATGGCTTAATCTTGCACTCTTGGCCTGTCAATTAATATTGCAACAAAAATCAGTTAAGGCATTCTGTAATATCTTAGTCGTGGCGGATAATTACTGATGTTGGAACTTCAGATTGTATTCTCTTTGCCTATGTCTGTACAATTATGACCAGAGAGTTAAAAAAAAAAAAAAATGGTTGGCCCTGTGTTTGCAGAGGATGGGCACGACATTCAGGATGCCCTTGGTGAAATTTTTGGAAGGCGCACTGTACCCCAGGTGTTCATAGATGGAAAGCACATCGGGGGCTCAGATGGTAAGTCTTTTAGTGTGTTTTGTAACAAAAATTAACCTTCATGTCAAAAACTGACTAAAGAATTTATCTAATTTCTTGAGAATAGACACCATGGAAGCATACGAAAGTGGAGAACTTGCTAAGCGTCTAGGCATTGCTTCAGAGCACAAAGAGGATCTCTAATTATTGTGAGACTTGGCGCTCGTTGTTGGAATATCCGAACCACATGGTGCGATGACGGAATAGCTCTTCCTTTGGATGGATGATGGAGAAGTAACTTCTTTATGCTATCTGTTGTATGGGTTTTGATGCATCTAAACTAAGATGGTGCGTTGATGGAGGGAATAACTCTCTTAAATTCTTTTTCCTCCAATACTCACTGTAAAACTGTGATCGTTTTTCATTTTTCCCTAGAAAAGGGAGTTCTATCCATTTGAGTTTCTGTACGCTATAATATGCCAAATATGATCATTCGATGCATGGCCATCAAAGGCTAAATTATAGTTGAGACTCTTCCACTTGGTTCTCCATAACTTCAGGTTTGTCGAAAGGTTGTCAGCAGATTGTTCTTTTTATCTAGAGGCTGACCCAAATGTCTAAAATCAAAATCGATGCACATCCTTTGCTGATATTTAGTTGATGTAGATTATATTCCTTACCATTACATATATATATACGTCTAGAGATCAAAAAATTATATACGATGAAGCTCTTATATTCCTACAAGGAGCTTCTAAATTTAAGAATGGCAACGGCGGTCCATGGAGGCGGAGGATCTACCTCCACCTCTGCCTCCATGAAAGCTTGCTAATATTTTATATACGTCTCCATTTACGTCGGATGTAATTTTCAAGCTGTGTCTATCTCCATCGAAACAGACCTCCCTTAGAAGTTCACATAATATATATTTTTTATTTCATGACAAATTCCATTAAATAAAGTACATATGCCATGAAAAAAAATTAATCAAAATAATTTTAGAAAAAAAAACTATAAATATTATTTTAAATATATCTTGAAAAAATTATAAATATTATGAAAATTCATCGGATCAGAAATCCTCTGCCCACCTCCATGCTGAAATAAGCAAAGTGAGATTAATTTTTCGATCAATTTTTACCTTTATATATATATATATATATATATATAAAATAAAAAATCCCTTTCGTACCTTCTCCCATTCCAATAAATAGAAGCAACTATAATTGGCATCTTACTTCTAATTCTACTTCATCCTCATAAGTCACAAGGCTCAAATCAAGATAGATTAATTTTTCATAAAAATATTGTTTATATGAAGGAAAAAAAGAAGAAGTAAATATGCCTTTTTTTTTTTTTTTTTTTTTGCTAGCAAGACCTTTTTTGTTTTTTTAGGTTTTAAAAAGCCAACCTTTTCTCTTCACTATTTTAGCACAAGTAAATTATAAATTAATCTCTCTTGTTTAGAGAACCGAATTACTTAGTCTTCTTTCTTTTTAATTATTTAGTTTTTAATGTTTTAATTTTATCAATAGTTTAATTTCTTTATCAATTTTTTGTTAAATTAGTAATTTTTATTTTCAAATTGTCATTTTATTTATTTATTTTTCATTAAGAAAAAGAGAAAGAGAGTGGGTGAATGAGAAAAATAAAATATTAAGTGATGACAATTTGAGAAACAAATCGCAATTTAACTAAAAATTGAAAGAAAAAACAAGTTACTGTACAAATTAAAATATAAAAAATTAAATAATTAGTTTTTAAAATAAAAAAAATTAATTAATTCAATTTTTTAAATAATAGCGACTAATTTATAATTTACTCATTTTAGCAGAGTAAAGTATAAATTTATCTCTCTAGTTTCAAGAAACAGATTAATTAGTCTCTCTCATTTAAAAAAAATATTATTTAATTCTTTAATCAGTATTAATCCTGTGTGATTTATATTATTTTTATTTCATTAAAATCTCTTTTTTTTTTTATAATCTTTCCATATTTTTTTTTAATTTTTATTTTTTAAAAAAATCGAAATAAATTAAAAAAATTAAATTATAAACAAATTTTCAAAACTTGGAGACTAATTTGTTTTTAAAACGAAATAGACTAATTAATTCATTTCTCAAAATGCGAGAGACTAATTTATAATTTACTCCATTGTAGCACCTCCAAATTCCAATTTAGCAAACAAACAATAATAAACAGGGTGAGCTAAGAAGAGTTTCATCTGTGGCAACTGAAAGAAGAAAATGGAGGAGCAAGGAAACAGCAAGAAGAGAACCCGCAAAAGAAAAACAAGAAAACCCAAAATCCCTTCCGCTTCCCTTCTTTCCCTTAACGACACTAACACCATCTTCCCTCTCTTACTAGCCGCAACAGCTCAACTCTCCAATTCTCAAAACAACACACCCAACAATAATTCCGAAATCTTAATTAAGAAATGCATAACCAAATTACACCACTCTCTCCTTTCAAACAACCAAACATTTCCCATTTCAGTCCTCTCTTTGTTTCCCGTCCTCATGAATTCCAAGTAATCCTTTCTCTCTCCTTTTTCTTTGGTGCATTTTATCAAACAATCGGTTGGTGATGGTTATTTTTTGAAATAATTGTTTCAGGTGTGCAGGAATTGCTTGTCGAAGTGCGGAGATTGTTGGGTTGGCTTCACTGGTGTCATTGGAAATGAATGAATTGGTTGCTTTGGATGAGGGGATGGTGAAAGGTGTGATCTTGATGTTAGGGAGTGGAAAAAGGAAACTTTCTGTGGCTGCTTGTAATGCGCTTTTGGATTTGTCTACTACTTTGATTGGAAGACAAAAGTTATTGGAATTCTTAGCTTTAGAAAGGCTTATGTGAGTATATTGAACTATGGTCTTCATTTCTTTTAGAAGGGTTTGGTTACATATGCAGTTTTGTTTGCTTGATTGATTTGAAGTATCCCAATTTCCATTTGTGCTGGGAAAAAAGGCTTATCAATTAATTTGCTTAAAAGGTTTTTTTTTCCCTAAAAAAAGAAATGGGAGTTGATGGCTCAATCTGTCTTTGTATAATTGGATAATTCTTCAATCTCTCATTATATCCCTAATTGAGCTAATTTTATCCTTGAATATACTTTAAGTTTATAATTTATCTTCTTGACAAGATTTTTAGGCCAAACCACTAGAATAATCACTTCATTTGATTTGTACATGACTATTTATTATTTCTAAAAAAATCACTTGATTTGCACATGACTATTTTTTATTTCTAAAATGCCCTTCCAAGCCAAAAAATTGCTCAACTTTAGATACAAGGACAGATTGGAGAGTTACCTTATTATGTAAAGACAAATTCAGTTATCAACCCAAAAAATGACTATAGACTTTTTTATTATTATTATTACTACTCTTATTATTGTTATTTTTTAAGTATTAACTCAAAATGTAAATCTTTCCTTCTGTATAATGACTTAACATCCATTAGGTTTGGATTCCTTCAGGTTCCTGCCTCTTCAATATTGGTTTCTTTATACAATGAAGATAAGAGAAGTGTTGCCCTTGCCAGGATAGCTTTTAAAGAAGATGGAGCTGCAGTGTCACTTCTTCATGCTGCTATTACTTTAATTAATACTTGCAACATTGAGCAATTGGAAAGGATCCCATTGAAGCTGGCTGAAAAGTTCTTGGTTTCTTTGAAAAAGTTGTGGGGAAAAGTGCATAATCAGATGTTACTTGGCAATGCTTGGACTTCCCGTCGAGAGAGGGATTTAAATTTGAGAGATGTTACAGTTAACAATCTGGCAGAAAGTATTTTTAGGCTTTCTATTAATGCCAGTGAAAATGTGATTCCTTTGCCATCTGTGATAATTGACAGAAAGATCTTCGGTTGGGGTGAGCTAAGTTTTGAAAATTTCATGTTACATCACTGGGAATCATCTCCTTCTATCGTAAGAAGGCTTTCAGGTTCCTTAATTGAGGAAGATGACATTTTTAGCTCGTTTGCACAATCTCTGAACTGTAAAGAAGCATCTCCTACCTTTCTTTCATGCGTACTTAAAAATTTTATTTCATGTGTACCTATTGCTTCAGATGAACTGAATATCATAAGTTTCCTGGAGGAGATGAGAAGTGAATTGGGCTGTCCTATAATCTACCATCAGGACATACGAGTACTAAGGACAGAGCAGCCTTTAAAAAAAGAGGTGCATTTCTTTCAAAAGAAATTTGATCCATGCTGCTTTAAGAAACTTGCTTTCAATACTACGGACATTATGAAATGTGAAGAAGCATTTAAAGAGGGGTATACAATCGCTCTGCGTGGTGTTGAGTTTCGCTTTGCAAGTATTGCAGCTGTTGCAGATGCTTTAGCATCTTTGTTTGGTCAACCATCAGTTGGTGCCAATATATACTTGACACCACCTAATTCTCAGGGTTTAGCTCGTCATTGGGATGACCACTGTGTGTTTGTATGCCAACTCGTTGGAACTAAGCAATGGACAATCTATTCACGACCAAATTTGCAGCTACCTCGCTTGTATGATCCTCTTGATAGAGAACATCGTTTTGGGGAAGAGAATTCATTGGCTGTACGTAGAAAGTTCCTGTTGCGGGAAGGTGACATTTTGTATATTCCAAGAGGCTTTCCTCATGAGGCATGTACAGATGATGGTGGATCTAGTGATTTAGCCAGATTTTCCTTACACGTCACCTTTGGCATTGAGGTGGAACCTCCATTTGAGTAAGTAAAAGTTCATCGTTTTCTTTTCATTGCAACAGATTTGTTTGGTTTTACATATTGAAAATTTATGTCTGCCTAGCAATTTTTTTTTTCATCTCCAATCTCTAGTTTGGTTGATTTATCAAATTAATGGAATGGGATTTATTTAGCATGCACTTGCTCACAGCAGGATGTCAGTAATCCCTTGCACCTCTCCCCTAGAGGACAGATACATGTATGACCAGTCAATGAACTGCTGTTTTTATTGATTGATAATGTCCAAGTATATCCTTACCTACATGCACTTCAGCAGTTACCTTTGATTGACAATATCTGCCAAGGGCCACTGATCTGTTGGAGCTAGCTAATAATCTGTTTCTTCAAACAGAATAATTAATCACTCTGTAGGGCCATTCAATATATGGGTTTGATTCTTTGTAAATTGTGAGATGGCCCATGAATGGCCAATACACTCAAGAAATATGGCTCCATTAGGAGTTATGGATGAATCTTGTGGGTTTTGGGAGAGGGAAGTACAAGTTTTTTAAGGATAAGGAGTCTGTGGAAGTGTACTTTATTTGCAGTGTACGGAATCTTTGGATGGCTGAAGTTTAAAGAACCAGTCCCTATCAACTGTCAGGGCAGTTATTTGCAATATGATTGTTTATTTCTTATCCCTTTTATGCTCTTCAAGGTCTACTGCTTCCAAGGCATTTAAGGGTCTTATTTTACTCCGGTTAGGAGGTCCGTTTGCTTTTATTTTCTAGTTATTGTCTTCTAAGGAAAATGTCTTGTAATCTTTGCCACTCTTTTCTCCAATAAATTCTTATTTGAAAAGAATAATGACCTAAAAAGTTACCTTTTGTGTTTGCAGTAGTTGATGTACATCAGATTTCTATCAAAGCCGTTTCTCATCATATGGATCTCTTTAGTCTAGATTGAAAAGTTTGTTGACTGATTTAATCGATGTTTTTTAAAAAGGTGGAAACTCAGCAGCCCATGTGGACTGGCCCATGCTCTTGACAAAATTATTTAATGAAGACATTGTGTCCCTGAGACACAGAGACATGGTTTTGGGCCAATGTCTCTGGAAAAGCTGATTCATGGACATGTCTTTAAGATATTTTTATGGCTCAAAGTAAGGCTTGTGGCAAAAATTATCTAAATGATAATGTTTGAAACTACACTCCAAGAACATTTTGAATAATTAAAATGTGTCAAAACTTTATGTGTGTGGTTAAAATTTCTTATTAATGTTTCGATAGTGTTATATATTTTACTGCTCGAGGAAAAACTGAAATGAGGACAGTTCAAATCTGGTTAGTTTTTACGCGGTAGTATTCATGTGTGATACGGTTCACAAATCAAATGTTTATGGTATGCAAAACTCATCATAATCTAGGTCGAATTTTCTATCTGCCATTGCTTCAGTGCAGTTTAGATGAATTGAATCATGGAATTTCAAACCCTTGCATAGTTTTTATATTCCATGTGTTCTAATTAACTAAGTTTTATGATCTGAGTTTCCAAAATGGCATGATCGAGAGTCAAAAGATAAGGTTATGGATATCTTATTGAAATTGGAATTTGTGATGAAATTAAGATTTATGGCTATCTATAAGAACATTTCTCATGTGTCCTTTACTGTATTTTACTTCCATCGCAGGTGGGAGGGCTTTGCACATGTTGCACTCCATTGCTGGTACCAGACCCAAAAACAGCTGCATCATGCTTCCATTGAGCCACTGTCTGGAACTATGGATCTCATGTCTGTGATTCTGTTGCATGTAATGATTGAATTAATTGGGGCTTCTGATTCTACCTTGCGGAAAGCTTCCTTAGTTGGTGCTGATTTTTTGCCATTGGAAGCCAATGTTTGGCTTAATTTGGACCAGAAAACCACATTTAACCATATTATGGATCAAATTAATAAGGCATCGAAGTTCTTGGAAGTATTCAGGAATGTGGAAGTAGCAATTGAAAAAAACGAAGATCCCTTTCATCGGATGAGGTGGCTCAGGCATCTCTATCAAGAGACACAAACCGTTCAAGAACATGATTGGAATGTACCTTTTGGTGAATTTCAAAATTTCTTTCCTGCATATGCTCAACACAAGGACATGGCAAAAGCTGCATTCATGCAAGTTAAATCTAAGTTCTGTGATGAAGTGTTATTTGAGGATGTGATTGATAGGTATAAACTACTACTCGAGAATTATAAGAAAGCCAGAAAGCAATATATGAATGGAATGCTGTCGCTACATTGTAATGGGTTTCTTTCCCCCTAATCTTAGATTTAGATCATCACGCTATTGTTTCCCGAAAGTGCAATCCACATGGTCAAATAGGTCAAGACTGTTCTGCATTATCAAATTTGGAGGGCAGCCCATGCCAGCAATTGGTTTCTTGCATTTGTTAAAGCACTTCACAGGTATGGCATATATTATCCATTTACCCTGTTGACGATGGAACATCTATTCCTTTTTTAGTCTGTTTATATACTACTGGCATAATTTGATTAGTAAAACCTTTAGAAAACACAAATGCTGCTCATATGCTGCCAGCAGAAATATATATTTATCCTAATTGTATTGGTGTAAATAATACCTTGTGAACTATTGATTAATAACGAAGCACATGTATGCAGCATTCCTTCCATCTGAAATCTTTTTTTTTAAAAAAAAAATTTAGGGTCTGGGATGCTTCGGAGTTGGAGTTGGATGAGTTGTCACGCCATGGTAATCAATGTGGTAAACAAGATCCTCTAATTTATCATTGCTGCTTGGATACTCTAGTTCCCTAGAATCTTCCTTGATTGTTGTCTGCTGTGTCTTTTCATCAAGAACCTGCAATCCGCACATCCTTACTTGTTAATTTTAGAATACAAATTTAGAAATGCAGTGGAGAAATGAATTGTCTAAAGCTATGATAGTTCAAGATCTCCAAGTAAAGTTGGAGAAGGTATTTCTCTTTTTAAACGGTTAGCTTTGTTGCTTCCAGGCACACTCAAGCTAAGGATAAGAACTTGGAAACTACTTTGGCACACATGGTAAAGTCTGAGTACCAGGAGAACATGTGAACACTTCTTTGGCACATATTCAGAGCTAATGATTGCAACATATGCAATCAGAAAAAGCATCTCTTCAATGTTGTATTTCGAAGCAAAGAGGGAGCAATCAGGCTTCAGATCCTACCTTGGTATTCTCATGTTCATCTCTGCGATTGACCGATGACATCCTCTGTTCTCTCATGGATCTCCTTCCGGTGAGGAAAAACATAGAAGGAGAAGACGAAGAAGTAGAACTGATGTTATGGGAAAAGAAATAAAAAGCAGTTGTAAGCAACAACAAGAAGAGAAGATGCAAAAGTTTCATTGTTCTTGCCAAGGATTTTTGCTCTCTCTAGGATGGAAGAAAACTGTGGAAGAGCAAGCATATACATATAGAAGAGCACTGCAAGCCAATGCCTAGAGATAGAGAGAGAGGGAGAGAGTCAATTATTGGTAGAAGGGCAGGGGGGACATGTTTGAGCCCATGCCTATGATTCTGTTGCCTGTGAGATTGGAAAAGAAATGCCACAGACCATGCCAGGACCTTTGCAGACTCTCCCTTGTGCTATTATTGCCCAAATTTACCTCGTTTTTTCTTGTAGGATTTAACTGTGGAATCATGGGTTTTGTGTGGGCTGGTAAAGCAAGGAATTCCCATCATGTGTGTGTTCAATGTCAAACAAAACCACTTGTAGTTCAACCGTTAATCCATGTTTTGTCCTTAACGATAAGGACTAGATTTGATCATGTCATCATCCTTTTGCTGATATTTTGCTCCTCTCTCTCTCACACGATCTTTACCGGGCATATGAACATGAAGTTGCTGGTAGCTGTATTTTTCTCTGCCTTTAGCAACTAGTTTTTGGCTAACATTTGCGAGTAAATTATAAATTAGTTCTACTCGTTTTGAGAAATAAATTAATTAATCTCTCTTGTTTAAAAATTAATTATTTAATTATTTATGTTTTCTTTATGTGAATAATTCAGTCTTTCCATTAGATTTTCATTAGATTTGTGATTTTTTTTCCTCCTTAAGTTGTCCTTTTCTTCATATCTTTTCTTTATGTACTTTTTTTCTCTTTCCTTAACAATTTTTTTTTTAAAGGAAATTTGAAAATAAAAACTTACTAGTGTAATGGAAAACTAATGAAATTACTAAGTTATTTACGAAATTAAAAAATAAAAGATTAAATGATTAGGTTTTGAAAGAAAGGAAATTAATTAATTTGTTTCTTTGAACCAGAGGGACTGGTTTATAATTTTGCTGAAATGACCTGGGCCTTGTGAGGAAACTTTTACGAGTAATTGGATAGATCCGTTTTAAATGAGTCCAAACTCACATGAATGTGGGTTGATAGGAAAAATGAATAAATAAATAAATAAATTTGGCTACCGCTTCATGTGTAGGATTAAATTATAAATTAGTCAATCTAGTTTTGAAAAATCAATTAAATAGTTCATCTAGTTTTTAAAAAAACTTAGAAACTAAAAATATAATTTTTGAAACCATGAGAATTAATTAATTAGTTTTGATAAATTATAAGGACTAAATTATAATTAAATCGAAAGAATTGTTGGCAATAGTAAATTTTTGTTCTTTATGAATTGTTAACTTATATAAAGTTCGAGATTTAGAACTTTTCATGAATATGATTGCTCATGTTCAAGTCGTACATTTATTAATTTTAAATTCAATGTTTTGAATTAGGTGAGAGAGAAAAATCCTAAAGTTTGACACATTAGTGAACTAAATCCATTGAAAAATAGATAGCACAGTTTTTTTTTTATTATTAATTTAATTTTGTTGTATTTATATATACGAACGAGAGAGCTTTCATTAATAAAAAAATCTAAACACGTTAATTTGGTGATGAAATTGTTAGACTTTGAAACTTGGGTTTAGAATTGAACGTTCATGGTTGGGCACAATCCAATTATATTGTGATGTGGACATAAGAAAAACTTCGTAAGATATTAGAGGGTAATATGAAGAGATTGAAAGAAAATATTTGTTACGCTTTCATCAACTCGAAGACATGGCCAAGTCTTTTCACTATGTTCTGTTCATTGTTGCTCTAGGTAATACTTCATCCCTTCGATTTTCTTCTTTTTGTTTCTTGAATGGTAAATATGGGACAACTCCGACAATGAATCTTTAACTCATTTTGGATTTGGGGCCAAGCTCTTCTGTTAGTTTTCGTAGGATTATTTCTCTTTTTGTAAGCAATATTGCTAGTGAATCAAATAAATTTTCCTGTTGACGATCCGTTGACATAGGGATGGAAACCTAAATAAACTTAAGGAAAGAGCTTGATTTTTAGATTTTAGAACAAAAAAATTGAAGGATGGACAAAATCTATAAAAAATAAAAAAATAATTAACCTTTTACTCTTTTTTAATTCAAAGAAAATTTTATTTTTCCATCATTCTCCTTATTTATCCAAACAAGAGAAGATAAACATATTTTCATCCCTTCTCCTCCCTTCCTATTATAATTTTTTTCCAAACAAACGAAAAGGAAATAAAGTTCCAGGGATTCATTAAAGGAAATAAACCAATTTACCTCATCAAGCCACAATCATCTCCAATTATTAGAGAATAATATAAATTATATATTTGGGGCCTCACCTAATAACTTAAGGTTTTGGTTTGAGATGATTTTTTGAAACTAACCTATATTAACTTAAGCTTTTGAGTTAAAAATGATTTTTAACATGATATCGAGTCTTACTAACCTAATGATCAAGTGTTCAAATCTTACCACCACTATTGCTCTTCTAATTAATTCAAGTATAAAGTAATGTGAGCTTGTACAAGTTTCAAGTCCAAATAGCTTTCATTTAAACGAGTATGTTAGAAAATAATATAAGTAATATCTTCGAATCTTACCTAAAAGTTTAAGCTTTTGAGTAAGATAATTCTTTATAATCAGCTCATAATCAAGTTAACGAGGCCACTTGTTACAGATCGACGATTTTGTTAATATAGAAAGATTGGCTTATTTGGAAATGTATCCTAATAAAATGTTTACAACTAAGGAAAAAGTTTAATTAGCTTGATTTATTCAAAATTTGAATTATGAAATTATGTCTAATAAAATTATATACTCCTTCCTTTCCAAAAAAAAAATGGTCATTCTTTATTTTTCACACTGTTTAATTAAGGAAATTATCAATTGTGCTATATTAGCATTTTTTCCATACTTGCTTAAAAAAATATATGGTTACCTATCAAATTTAATTTGTATTATATGGAACCAATATTAACTTAAGGAGAAAATATATTCAAAATTAAGGTGATAAATTAAAAAAAAACTTAATTAACAATTAAGTTTAAGACTACTATGAATAAATAACATACTAATGAAATATTTTATCCTTAAAATTTTGCAATGCAGTTAAATCCGATAAGAATGAATAGTTTTCATATTACAAAAAGATTTTTCTTCCAAATTTTATATTAAAGGTTTCTGTATTTATAAAGAGAAAATATAAAGAATATTTATTTATCTATTTTTGTTAGTAAAGACCGAATAAATAAAGAAAGAACTGATTTTCTTCATCAACTATATATATTTTAAGAAATTACATTATTTAAAATTTTAACTAGAAAATATTTTGAAACATATATAAATAGAAAGGGAAATAAATAGAAGGAGTAACAACTTTGATTTTGAAAACATACTTTATAAATTATCACTTTCTATTTAATTCATTTACCTTACACAACTCAGTGCATAAATAAAGCTCTTTGGTCTCTAGTCTGTACCATTCTTCACCTCCACAAAAGTTGAGAAGATCTATCTGTTTACACTTTAGAGTCAAAGAGATGGCCAAGTCCTTGCACTATGTTTTGTTCATTTTTGCTTCAGGTAATACTTCATCCCTTTGATTTTCTTCTTTTTGTTTCTTGAATGGTAAATATGGGACAACTCCGACAATGAGTCTTTAACCCTGTTTATGCTATACGTATATATTTTTTCCTCTTTGACATATATACTTATGGTGTGTAAGGTTTTTAATTTTCTTATTTTCTTGTGTTTTGATGGAGATGATGCAGTTGCAATTTCGAATGTCATGGTAGAGGCAACGGATTGCCGCAGAGAAATAGGTGTTTGTACAGCAGATTGCAATGAAGTATGTGCTTCGAGATATCCTTATGATGGGCAGGGAGGCTGTGAGAATGATAAGTGTGTGTGCATCTTTACGTGTGGTACAGAAAAAAGGTGCAACGTTGGTGGTTTGGCTCCTTGTTCAAGCCAGTGCGGTGATCAGTGCTGTGCAGCAAATTGTGCTGCTAAAGTTCCTGGTGCTGCATTAATTGTAGCGTTTTGTGACAGTAGCACTGGAATTACATTTTGCAATTGCAGCTATGATTGTTCTTAAACAGGAATCTCTTTATAATTTCATATGTAAGAAGTGAATTTCTTTTCTTATGAAAAATAAAACTTAATTTTGGGTTTTGCTAAACAAATGTTTATGAGACATTTTTTGAGATTTTGCATTACATTTGTGAGTTATTCTGGAAATACGAGTTATTTTTTAGTTCAAAGTCACCACTTAGTATTAAAGGAACTAAAAACCTAAGATAGCACCGATGCAAAAATTCTAATGTAAAGAGTTGGTTACTATTTAGAAAGAAATATCTTCCAAAAACACCATTTTCTAAGAAAGATATTACGTCTAGTTTAGTCCTAAATTCATCTCCTAAAGTATTTTATTTGTGCCAAGTTATTCCGATCTAAGCTTTAATTTTTCAAGTTAAATGAAGTTTTTTTGTTTTTGAGTATGACATTGTATTGAAACGATCATTAGTCATCTATATTGGACAACAAATCGTTTCAAACATCGGATCCACTTTAAATCTCGATACAACCGGTGTATTAGAGAACATTCCGATTATTAAATATTGATGATATTTTTAAACTAATGGCAGTCTCTATCGGATAGAAGACTTTGTTAAAAAAATTATTATTTCTTTTCTTTTTTTATTATTTTTTTTTGTTAACGAAAATTCTTATTAGATAGAAGACTTTGTTGAGAATTTTAATTAATTTTTGTCGATGGAGAATCGTCATATTAATTACTAAATTAATTATAGAAATAATTTTCTTTACAATTAAAGTATGCTTTCCTTTTTTGTTTATATTTTATTTTTTTGTTAATAGAAAATCATCATCAGTTTCTAAAAATTAAGAACTTAAAAATTCTCTCACCATTTGGTTATCTAAGCTAACTATGGAAATAAAAAAAATTAAAATAAAAGTATGCATTTTTTTATATTTTTTATTTTTTATCAATATAAAATTGTCATCGGTCCCTAAAAATTAAAAAAAAAACTTGACAATTCGTTCACCATTTGGTTATCTACACTAATTTTGAAAATAAAATTCTAAAATTAAAATTAACTAAAATAAGTTCCAACAAATTAAATGTATTTAAATCTAAATTAATCAAGATATAAATATACATAAATAAATAAAGATATTCAAAATAAATTTACTTAAAATAAAAGACAAAGTCATTTGGGATTGAAAAGATAAAGTGAAGGTGGTAAGAATCAAACTCGCTATCGTTTGGTCATTAAGCTTTGGTACCATATCAAGAGACCATCTTACTAAAAAACTTAAGCTATTAAGTGCGATTTCGGAATATGATTTATATTATTATCTAATACCGAGTACCTTCAACTAGCTCTATTCATCACTTGTTTCATTTCCAAATCGCAAAATCCTACCTTCAACAATATGTAGTTTTCGACAGGTTCATGATCATTATGTTGCTGTGTCTCCTATTACTTTGTTGAAATCTTATGTTGTTATTAATTATGGCTTTAATTGATTAGAGTGAATGTATTTTTATTAAATATGAAAATCTTTCCATATTATTATTATATTAAATATGTATCAGTATAATCTTGGTAATATCTTTTATTTAAGTCTAGATTTGATTTTAGCTTAATGTGTTTGATTATAAACTTGGTAATATCGATGTTTTACTTAAGTCAAAATTTGATTTTAACTTGTAATCAATTTCTTGATTTAGTTTGTAATTAGTACCTTACTTTTAACTTGTAATTAGTATATATAGAATATAAATAAAAACATTGTACAACCTTCAATAATATTTTCTTACAATGTTTTTTTTAGTCATTCTCTTTTGTTCTTCACAAAAAAAAAATAATAATAATAATAAAAAAATCAAAATAAAAAGTTAAGATTTGGATCCAATTCATATTTTTAAAACCCAATTCGAATTCATAAGATTCAATCCATCCGTTTTACTAAATAAATCGATTCTGGATTTATTGTTATTCGATCCAAATTCGATCAATTGATAGTCCTACCTTTAACTAATACCTAAAACATATCCGGCCATACCACTAAAAAAAGTACCTCATCACTAAAATTCAGTTCAGTCAAGTAAATTATAAATTAGTCCCCTGCTAAATTACAAATGATTGATTAGTTTTTGAAATCATTGGGATTAATTAATTTATTTCTTAAAACAAGAGAGACTAATTTATAATTTACTCATTTTTTTACCATTGAATAAAAAATAAAAAAAATCATAGTGGACAGTTTAAAGAACCTTTTTATCATTCAGTACTAAGGAATTAAAAATTCATAATTTTTTACAAAATTAACATCATTAATGCCGTGATTTTGATGAATAAAAAAAAAAAAATACAGAGTAACCCTTCTTCTTATTAAAAAAAAATAAAATAAAATATTGTTGCATGTGCAATATTGAGTTTGGGCTGAAGAAAAAGTGCAACATTAGGCTGGGCCGTTTTGTTCAGCCCAGTGCATTGATCCGTGTCGTCAAGTATAAAGGTGCGTCAAGGGATTTGTTCAGCTCGTCCCATTATGTTAAAAAAATAAAAAAATATATTATTAAATTATTAGATCAACTTCAAGAATAATTTATTAAATATAATATACTTTTTCAAATAAAATATTTTACGCTCGAAACTTACACAGGCTAAAAACTTAATACTAAAATTTTTAATTTAACTTAAATAAAAAATGTAAGTAGTTGAATTCGTTACAATAAATCATTAAAATTCTGATATTATATCAAATAAACATATTAATTCTAAAAATTAAACTTTTATGTAAGAATCAATAATGATTTTATATTATCTCTAATACGATCTAAGTGCATTGCTCACTATATGTCGAAATACTAACAATTGTTATAAAAGAAATAATAACAATAGTAGAATTGAAGATCAAGGTAATAAGAAAATGAATTTACTATAAAATGAAATGAATACAAGAGATAACAACTCTAAATGATTCTCTCAATCGCTACAAAATACTTTTACACAAACTAATGAATAATCAAACCTATTTATAGGCTTCAAGATTAGAAAGAAAATTGAAAGAAACTATGAACCATTAAAAGATACATAAATAATTGAATAAATTACATCACATTTTTAATTTCTTATATTGAATTATGAATTGAATTATATAAGTAGTAAGAATATGAAATGGGCATTCATTATTTCATAACAATAATAACATAATTAAATTAAACATTATGAAGTAATTATGATAAAATAAAAATTAGTAATTTCTTTTGGTAATTAACATCATTAATGACATAATTATGATAAAACAAAAACTATAAAGCAGCCTTTTTTTTATGAAAATAAATAAGAATATCGTTGCATGTGCTTCAATGCCCTTTGGGTTGGGCTTGTAAGGGCAATTTCGTGTGTGAACCTTGGATTTGGGTCGGAGTTCAGCCCAGTTTAATAATACGTGTTGCAAGCAAAAGTGGATGGATCAATATATATAATTGGTTAATTATAGTAAATTTAAAGTAGGAAAAACTAGTTAAAAAAAAAACTTAGTACATATTATTGTCTAAATGAAATAAATAAATAAATGGTTTCTTTCGGTCTTTTTTAATACAAAAATAATTTCAGTAAGCAAATAAGCAATTAAAGGAGAAATTAGATGATTCCGAATGGTGGATCACGTGAGAAAAATATATATTGGCATTGAAAATCTCTCACTTTTTTTATACAAAATGAATATTGGACGAAAAAAAAAACCCTTTTATTCAAAAAGTTAAACTACCAGGGAGGCTTAAGAATAGTTTTACATTTTTAGCCAACAGACCATGTTATCTGTAATATATCCATTCAAGTAAAAATGTGAATCTTGTACCAAGATATAATTTAATTGAAAGAATAGAAATAATAAGATTCAAACTTATAACTATTTAGTTATTAAAATTCTAATATTAGGTTAAAATTTAAATTGTTAGGTTAGTTTTAATAAGTTTTAAGCAAAAACTAACATAAGTCTTTAAGACATCTTTTAAAAATCATCTAAATATATTTATTGTATTTGATTTGTTATTGGATTATAATAATAAAGGAATAAAATCCAAATATTTGAATGAAAAAGGAAAGGTATAGATTAGAGACCAAAAAAAAAAAAAAAAGAAGAAGAAGAAGAAAAATTACATGCGAATCCAAAAGGTAAGATTATATTTCCACCTAAGGAGTAAGAACTGTAATTAATAAATATATTTCTAATATGATATCAATAAATTGCTTATATATAGAAATACTAACAATTATTTCCACCATGGACAAAACGAAAAAAGAAAAAAATCCAATAATTAGAAATTTTAAAATAATAACGAGATAAACTAACCATACTTACTTTATGATACTATTTTAAGAAGAGAGATTGATACAAAAAAAAAAAAATTACATCCGAACATATAAAAAATGATAAGAATATTTTCAATAAGCTTAATTTATCTTTAAAAAAATCTTTTTTTTGTTTCTATTTTTATCTTTTCTTTGTGTCTACTTCTCTTACAAAGTAAGTATTATTAATTATTTCACCGATACCATAAAATTTCTCCAAAAACCTTACCTTATAAATAGAGGTGTCTATCCTTCTTCACCTCCACAAAAGTAGTCAAGATTGAAAGAAAATATTCGTTGCACTAATTTCATCGAGTCAAAGAAGCCATGGCCAAGTTTTTTCTCTGCGTTCTAGTTTTATTTGCATTAGGTAACTTTCATCCCTTAGATTTTTGTCCCTACTCTATAAAAATTGTACAATCAAGTTCCTTGATGTTAAATTATTTTTCAAAAAAAAAAAAAAAGTATGCATGTCCAGAAATCATATTATCCGATATATATCCTTTTGTTTATTTTTATTAAATATAAGACAATTATTCTTGTAATAAATTAACCATCTAGGGCATATGATTAGCAAAAGGATCTACCTTCTTTCTTTTCCTTCACTAATGGATGGCGTTGATTTTGATGCAGTTGCGATCATGGAGCTATCGGTAGAGGCTGAAAATATGGGCAAAGGAGCAGTTGATTCACAGGATGTGTTGCCCAATAAGAAGTGTAACGCAACTATGGGTCGTTGCAGTGCCGACTGCGATGAAGATTGTTGTGAAGGAAAATGTCTTCAGCATTATCACGGTACTGGGTATTGTGACGGTAGCTTAGGACCTGCAAGTACTCTGTGTCAATGCAGTTATGACTGTTAGAAAAATGGACCTGAATTTTACCTTCACTAGCTTTGTTAAGGACAATAAACTTCCTTTGAATCAAGTTAACGAGGGCAAGCACTCGTTAGAAAACATGTAATAAATTCACTGGTTATATTTAAGAGAATTATTCTATTGTCGGTGTCAATATATATCTTTTGGATCCAATCCAAACTCACCAAGTGATGAAAATTAATTTGCAGTCAAACATTTTTTTTTTTTTAAATATCCAAGGTATCCAAAGTAGAGATGGCAATTTGCCCTGTCCGACGGAGTCATACCACGCCCTGCCTCGGTCAACATGGGGATTCTCCGAGTTGACTAGGGAACGGGGCGAGGTGCCTCGCCCTATATTAATTTTGAACGGGGATGATATTTACTTGTTTGCTCTGTTTGTCACGTTCCATTCTTGAAATTATAATTATACCGTATATAATCTATGACTATCGACTCTTAAGGTTTATTTTCTATATAAACTATCATTTTTTTGCTATTGTTTGAAATTTGATAGTAAAATAAAGTAGGACGAAATGAAAATAAAAAATTAAACGAAGTACTAATGCCCCATAGGGATCTCCGTCCCCATTTGAGATGGAAATGGTATGAGAAATATTATCCCATACGAGACACGAGGAGAAGATGAGGCAAAGTTTGCAAGGGCGAGGTGGGGACGTTCCTAATCTAAAATTTAAAAGTATAAACTAATCTTTCGTTATTCTGTTGAAAGCACAAAACCGATATAATTACTCATAAGTTTTCTACATATACAAAGACTCGAATACAAAATTTCATGTTTTAAGTAATTAAAGTTTTTTTTTTGCTCAAGATAATTTTTTTGAATTTTAAACATTTTTTAAACCCAGAAGAAAATGATAAAAATAAAAGGTTAGGGGTTGAAGTCTCGATTGTATAACCACAATTAATGACACTACTACACAAAATTATCACTTGCTAATTAATTCCCATTCCGCATCAATAAATCTCTTCGAAATATTCTCGTGGCGAAGGAGGGTGTAGGGTGATACATTTGTGTGCCTGTATGAATGTTCAGCCAATTGCGATGATAAATGTTGTCAACAAAAATGTGTTGCTAGTGCTCTTGCTGCTCGAGGAATTCAAGCCTATTGTCACTATAGCTTAGGGGTTCAAAATTCAATTTGTCAATGTAGCTATGATTGTTCTTAAATGCTTTTTTTTTAAAAAAAAATTTCACATGTAACGTTTTAGAGTTTGAGAAATTTAATAAAAATGTAGGTAGCATTTATATAATCATTGATCTCCTCGATCCTAACTGATTAGTTTATCAGTGGAGTTCTTATGCATTTAAAAATTGATCAACCAAAATTCTTGTATTAAGTTCTGTATAGGCTCGAATTTTTCTTTTTATTGAATTGAATCCCTTCTCCCACACGGTCAGTCAGCCACCAACAACCTTGTCACCACTCCACAACAGCCACACACAGCCTCATGACCCCCTATTCTTCTCCTACAGTATCTTGCTCTTTCGTTCTGTTCCTTTTTAGCTCTCTCACGGACTCTCTTCGTCAAAAAGGCCAGAAATCGAGCAAGCTCTGCCAACCACCATACAAGCCACTAGCCATCTCCCACCAGGCACCAGCTACCAACCTCCATTCAAAGTACGAGAAACACATTAGTGTTTTATGTACAACAATTTTTGTAACCAAGATGCCTTGTGACTAACTACTAGCATCGCAATGAAGGTTAAAAATAGTAGTAATATTGCTTTTTCTCAACATAAAATATATTTTCCTTATCGAACAATAATTTTCTACTAAAAACTCCTTCAACACCTTATATTTAACTAACAAAAGTGTTAAGAAGTATTAACTATAAAGTTTATAATTAAAATAAACTATTTTCTCAACGCAAGGCTCTTTATTTTTAAATTATGGCACCCTAATTTTTGGCTAAATAATTGAGTGAAAAAAAAAATCTACCCATTTTGTGCATAAGGAATTTCACAAACCTAATACATAGAAATAAAAATCAATGAAGGATTCAAGTGCATCCTACCTTTTGTTTTTTTTAAAAAAAAAAAAAATTGAAAATCAATGTTCATAGTTGGCAAGTTCACCCAAAAAATATTCTTATCATTGAATCAAAACCTATATATACATATATATTGGTAGTAGACAGTTTAAAGAACCTTTTTATTATTCACTAGTAAGGAATTAAAAATTTATAAATTTTTAGAAAATTAACATCATTAATTCCATGATTTTGATGAATTAAAAATATATATAGAGTAACCATTTTTCGTTTAAAGAACCTTTTTATCATTCAGTAGTAAGGAATTAAAAATTCATAAATTTCTAGAAAATTAAAATCATTAATGCCATGATTTTGATGAATAAAACAAATATAGAGTAACCCTTTTTCTTATATATATATATGTATATGTGTGTGTGTATTGTTGCATGTGCTTCAATATTGAGTTTGGGCTGAAAAATGGTGTAACATTGGGTTTGGGACGTTGTTCAGCCCGATCCGTGTTGTAAAGTAAAAACGTGCTGCTAAGGGAGTTGTATGACAACTACTTGGTGCCTTAATATAAAAAGTAGAATAATGAAAATGGATTTGATAGTCTTGGAAAAACAAATTCAACCCAAAACTTTAAATTATTAGGTAATTAAAATTATAAACAAAAAAAAATGTTTTTCTATCTTAATTGGTCATCTAAATGTATAATTGACATACAGATGAATAGTATACTCATGAGTCAAAAAAATAATAATAAATAAATAAATTCTAATACTTATTGATAAAATATATATTGTAATTCATTGATTAATCGGCTTTAAAGTAAGAAAAAAATTTAGAAAATTTTAGTACATATATTGTCTAAATAAAATAAATAAATGGTTTCATTCTGCTTTTTTTTTCCTGGTAAAAATAATTTCTATAACCAATTAAATGAGAAAGGAGGTAATTCCAAATGCTAGATCACACGAAGAAAAAAAAATATTGTCATTGAAAATATATTAGTTACTCTTTCAAGATCTTGGAACATGCCCGTTTGTGTGAATGCAGAACTCTTATTTGATAAGTATTTTGGAAAATATTAATTTATAATATTTCAAGGACTAAGGTCCAATGTGATCCTAAGGTAGCTTCGCTCGTGATCATCCATTTGATATTTCAAGCGAATATTCTTCTATCAAATAAACATCTCAATAAATATAAGAATTGGTTTATATCTAATTCACTTTCTTAAAAAAAATATTTTATATTTGAAATTTACACATGCTCAAAACTTAGTACTAAAATTTTTAATTTAATTTAATCAAAATAATAAAAGTAGCAAAATTTGTAGTCAAATGAACGTACACCAAATATTGAGTTTTTTTTCAAGAAATCATGAATTCATTTTTTTTTTTTTTTTAGTATTTGAACTTAAAAAACTAGAAGAAGCTAGAATAGTTTTTCGTTTTTGTAATAGTGGTCAATTCAGTTCCTGCCTCCCAACAATTGCCTTAGAATACAACTTCCTGTTTATGATAAAAAATATCAACTTAAAAAATTTAAGCTATTAGGTAAGAATCAACAATGATTTTATATTATTTTCAATATGATCCAAGTAGCTTATTGTATGTCAAAAAGTTTGTAATCCAATGATGATAATCTTTTATAAGAGATCATTGATTCAAATCTTCAGAAACTAGTTATGTTTAGAGTCTTGAATATATGAGTTAAAAAAAAAAAAAAGCTTAGTATATATGAGAATACTAACAATGACATAATTACATTAAACATTATGACGTAGTTATGCTAAAATAAAAAATAATAATTTTTTTGGAAATTAACATGATTAATGACATAATGATGATAAAATAAAAAATTATAAAGAAACCCTTTTTTTTTTTATGAAAATAAATAAAAATATGATTGCATGTGCTTCATGGTCTTTTGGGTTGGACCTAACGTAAAGGGAGCCTGTAAGAGCAATTCGTGTGTGCGCTTCTTTGAATGTGGGCTGAGAAATGAAAAAAGTGAACCTTGGGTTTGGGCCGTAGTTCAGCCCTGTTTAATAATCCGTGTTGTCAAGCAAAGTGAATGTAAATATTATCTAAATATATTTATTGTACTTCATTTATTCATCTATTGTTGGATTATAATAATAAAGGAATAAAATCCAAATATTTGAATGAAAAAGGAAAGGTAGTGATTATACACATTATGTGAGTTTTATTTTATAAGTTAATATTTCTAAGTGTTCACATTAAATTAAATTATATAATTAAAAAGGAAAGTAAATATTGATTTGTAGCATTAATGACTCTAAAAAAAATTGTATAAAGGCATTCGTTAATTAGCCAAAACCTAAATTTTATATTACTTTATAGTGTTTTTTGGTAACAAGAAATGGAATGGTGAAAATAAAAATGAAAATTTTATTCTTACTTTGTAGGTGTTTGGTTGAAAAAATAAAATAGAAAAAGAAATGAAGAGTGAAAATAAAAATAAATATATAAGACATAATTTTATTCTTATAGGAGAGGTGGAAATAATTTTTTTTTTTTTTTTTGTAAAATAATGATATATTTTATTTATTATCTATTAATTACATTTATCACCACCACCACAATCATCATCGACGATGGTGATAAAAAAAATAAAAATGATTATTCTACCATCTTTCGTCCTCTAACACTATAACTTTTATCATACCACTACTACAATTGACAGTGATGATAACAAAGTTTTTTTAAAAATTATTGTTATTATTTCACAATCACCACCATCCTACTTCCATTGCTATCTTTTATATCGTTGGTATCATTTTTTTAAAAATAATATATTTTTATCATTATTATACTATTATTACTATCACCTCCATCTCCATTAGCACTACAATTACTTTTATTATTTTAACTATTATTATAATTGATAAAGTTATTTTTTAATTATTTTTTTATTCATATTAAAAATTAGATATTAAAAAAAATATTTTGATTTATTATTATTATTTTAAATACAATATGAGAATACAAATATCATTCTAATTTTTTTAATTTATTTTTGTATTTTTATTTGAATATTTTATTTTCGATAACCAAACGACACTTAAAAATAACAATTAATATTTACTCCACGAGTTCACTTTAAAAAAAAGACAAACATAAAGGTTGAAAAAATTACATCGGAATCCAAAAATTTATAGTATATTTCCACCTACCTCAAAAATAATTTTGTCAATTCTCTCTCTCTCTCTCTTGTCATTGTGTTTGAAGTGTAATTACTTACTAACATGTTATAATTATATTGCACACCAACAATTATTTCCACCATTAAAAAAAACAAAAAAGGCAAGAATATCCCATACTTAAAAATTTTAAAATAATAATAGACTAACTAACCATACTTACTTTATGGTTTCATTTTAATAAGATATACAGATACAAAGAAGAAAAATATCACATACGAATATATAAAAAATAATAAAAATATTTTCATTAAGCTTAAATTTTTTTTTATTCTTTTTTTTTATTTATTTCTCTCATTTTCTTTGTGTTTATCTCTCTTTTATAGAATAATAGAATAAATATTATTAGTTGTTTCACCAATCACATGAAATTTCTCAAAAAACAAAAACCATCCATACCTTATAAATAGTGGTGTCTGTCCTTCTTCACCTCCACAAAAGTAATCAAGATTGCAAGAAAGTATTCATTGCACGAATTTCATCGAGACAGAGACGCCATGGCCAAGTCTTTTCACAGTGTTCTGCTTTTATTTGCATCAGGTAACTTTCATCCCTTCAATTTTTTGAAAATAATGGTAGAAATGTAGGGTTATACATCTTTTCATCCCCATCATCGCCTCCCCCAGCGTTTTTTCCTCTCTTCTGTTTCTAATGCATGAATCATGATGGTGGATTTATGCAGTTGCAATTATGGAGCTGGAGGCAGAAGCTGGTGTCTGCACCAGAGACATGGGTGCTTGCAGCCCATCTTGCAATGACATATGTGCTTCGAAATATCCCAAGGGCGGCAAGGGAGCTTGTCAGGGAGGTCAGTGTGTGTGCTTCTTCGAATGTGGGACGGAAAAAAGATGCAACGTAGCTTTGGGTCTTTGTACAGCTCAGTGCTATGACAAGTGCTGTGCAGCAAAATGTGCTCAGAAAGGTCCTCTAAGTCAAGCGTTTTGTGATGCCAGATTATCGCCTATAGTTGTTACATGTCAATGCAGTTATGATTGTTCTTGAAATCTATCTTTATACACATGTTATTGCATTGAGAATAAGCTATGCTTCCTTATTTTCAAGTCAAATGCATGTAAGGGTCAAAGGAGAAAATTCAATAAAAAGCTGGCAATTTTTCGCTTGTTTAATCTATTTTGAGATTCTCAGTGTCCATCATTCTATCAGTCGATTTATATCACGTCAAATTGTATTCTAGAAGTATGAGTTTTTTTTCCCTCCTAGATTACCTTAAAGTCAATTGAGATTATACTCTTTTAAGATTTTAAAAACACATTTTCTAACATTAATATGTTATATCTAAGTGGATAATTATTTTAGGAGTTAGAATATCTAAAATTCGAACTAATAAATCAGGAATAAAAGCAAATTTCTTTACCCATCTTGGCTGTCCATTGAGTTTCAAATTATGACTAATGCATCTTAGCAAGTTGAAGAATGTTTTTTGGAAAAAATACTTTGGATTTCAAGCATTCTCAATTTATTCTTAGCCTACAGAGCTGGGCTTGGGCTCAGATGTCAGCCCTAATAGCTGGTTCGGGCAAAGATGGAGTCAGCATGCCCAGATTGAACCCCCAACATGGCCCAATAACAGATCTAGATTCTCGCTTGATTCTTCTGCTTAGTAAAAGAGTCACGGTATCATTTCATGCTTGATTCTTCCGCTTGGTTAAACGAGTCACTATATCATTTCATAATAATAGATGTAGATGATAATGGAAGGATACTCAATCTATTAATTATATATATTTTATTCATAAAAAACATTTTATTTATTATTTATTAAAAAATCATCATATAAATTTTTATTTAGTTTATACTTGATTTACATTAGTTTATTCATCTATTTATTAAATACTGGTCAAAATAATTTGTCAAAATATTTATTTTAGTTTTTATAATTTTTAAAAAATTTTTTTTATCCTTAAAATTTTTTTTTGCATTTTGGTCCTTTCTTTATAAGTTTTTTGGTCCTCAAAGTTTTTGAAAAAAAATATTTTAGTTTTTAATTTTAAAATTTTATATAATTAGATCTCTATAGATTAATAAAAAAATCAAATAAATTAGTGGTTATTAATAGGATAAATAGTGAGTATCCATATCCCGAAATCATATTATTAGGTATGCATTTATTTACCCTCGTCCACTTCAATATTCATTGGATATTTTTAATCGGTATTTATTGAATCGGGTAATTATGTAGATATCCGTTTTATACTAGTTCTATTCCCATCCTTAATCATAGCTAGTTATTTTCCCAAGACTAATAATTAACGAGGTATAGTAATTAAAGTCTCCTAACCATCCTATCTCTAATTGTCCAAGTAGAAAAACAAAGTCCAAAATCAATATTCCAAGTGGGCAGTTTAATAGGTTTCATTCACATCGAAATAATTAATGATACCGTTTCTAAAAGATTATTAGGTAAATTATGTTTAAGAATAAACAACTCAATTTATTTTTATATAATAATGTGAATCTTCAATTTTTCTTCATGCTTTTAATTGCATCTATTATATCCTTTACTAATGTTTAAGTTTCTAATATATCATCTCAATCAATTTTTTTGACCATGAGTAAATTTTTTTGACCGAAACATCTTTAATTGAAATAAAACAAAAAATCTAGAAACTTAAAAATTGAAACATATAAGACATGTGACTTAAATTTTTTTTTCTTATTTACATTTCAATTAGGGACATTTCGATTAAAAATTTTCACATGGTAGAAAAAATTGATCGAAAAAACAAATTGAATATATATAAACAGATTAGTTATTGAAAATACTGATTGAGCTATTTATTTTTACGTTTAATGAACATAATTTCTAGTTCACTTCAACTGCCTTGAATAATAACAAGGGGACTTGGTGGATGAAATTTGTTTCTTCTTTTATTCGTTTTGCAAGAGTGTCTAGCTAGTCTTTGTAAAACTCGGCTAACTCTTAAACCCTCTACATTCCTGCGAGACTCGTACGTAGGTAAGCTAGGGAGTGAAAGTATACCCAAGAAGAAAACAAGAATATAGTAAAGGAAAATGATTGGATGACAATAATTTACTGCATGGTTACAAAAAGTTACATGCATGGGTAGATTCTAAACAGATTATATTGGATTTTTATTTATTTTTTATTTTTTTTAGATTGAAAATAGATTGGAATTTATTGAGAAAGAAAAGGAGTAAAGTTTCGCAATAATTTAAGATTATTGTAAAAACACCTTCTGTATATTTAAGAGTAATGTTAATCTTATCAAAAGTTTTTTTCACGAATTTTATTTTTTAAAAACTTTTGAATATTGGATTTATAGGATTCATTAATAAAGTCCATTTATTTAATAAACGAGATTTTTTGAAAAGTAAACTTGAGAAGAATAATTGATAAAGAATAAATTTGTAAAGAAAAGTATATACAAACAGAAAGGTGATACGGAAAATTCAACTGATATAGCAAGTAAGAAAGGAGAATTATATAAGTGATTTACTTGCCAGATAAGTGATTAAAATTATTATATGAAATATTGTTTGTGTTAATGTGATTTTTTTGATATATTTTTAGCCTTCTTCCTCCAATTAATAATGAGAGCTATAACTATCATTGACAATGCAATAATTAATTATTAAACTGTGGATCCATCTAGCTATGATAGCCCAATTGAATCTTTATGATCACAGCCACCAGGAAAAAAACTAGGTTTGTTATGTGTCAATTTACAACTCATCACCAGAAAGCGATACAAGCACAATTTAATTAAAATCACAATTTCATCAAATCCATTGAGTATCCTGCTTTCATTCCTATCCCAATCTATTGACATCTCTAAGCAGAACCAAAAGTATAGTTATCAAATATTGTCCATCACAATTGGATTAAGGTCCAAAAAAAAAAAAACTATTTTATTAAAAGGTATAAAATTTGATGAATAAAGTTTATTTGATGAATTACGGATCGAATTAGATCAAATTTACGGTTGGATTTGAGTGTCTGATGATTAATAATAATAAAAAAAAAGCAGTTTCGTTATAAATTTTAATCTCAAATTAGTTTTTGAATAATAAAAACCATTTAAGTGTCAGACGCTTAATCAATATTAAAAAAAATGCATTTTCTTTATAAATATTAATCTTAAATTAGTTTTTGAATAATAAAAACCATTTGATGTTTCACTTTCATATAGTTTTATATAGTTGATATTATTCCAAAAATTAATTTGGAAATTATATTATATATGGGATGAATAACATTACCTATTACCATATGATTAGTTGTTTGCATATACATAGACAATTGACCCCAAATTCAAAACAAAGAATTATTTTGTTTTCCTGTTTAGGGAAAGTGTTTGGAAATATATGATCCGGTGGACTATAGACTCAAATCAATCAAAGAGTAAAATTAATTATTAATTAACATCCCATTGAATTCGCAAAGTCAAAAATGATTTGGAATTAAGGAAGTTTTGGTTTCCCTAAAAGGGGTCAGAGTTCTAACGCATGCCATTAAATCTTTCTTCATCACAAATATATATATATATACTCTCTATTACTATATTTTAGTTGTCATTAGTACTATAATTAATCACACAAAATATATTTAAAATCTATTAGAATCATTTATATATTCCTAAATAACATCCAAAGAATTAAATATTCTTGTATAAAGTCACCTCCTAACCCCTTCTCTCCATTTGCAATTATATTCATAATCTCTCTTTCCCTTTTCTCTTCCTCTTTCTCCGTCTCTCTCTCTCTCTCTCTCTCTGTCAAAAATGGAAGAAGAAGGATACTGTAACACAAGACTTGAGCTAGGACTAGGTGGTGAAAGCTATGTGTCATGGCCTCAGAAACAGAAGGAGAAGCCTGTGGTACGTTTAGGCCTCTCATTCGCACTTTGCCCTACAGAAGATTCCATGCATATAGATCATCATGACAAGGCAGAGGGGACATGGTTCAAGCCTGAAGAAGATGAAGAATATGGGAACAAAAGAAGTGGTCATTCCATTGATAATAATAGCATGGCTGGTACTGGTAGAAAGAAACTCAGGCTTACAAAAGAGCAATCAAACTTGCTCGAGGAGAGATTCAAAAGGCATTCCACTCTTAATCCGGTACCCTTTTCTGCTGCTCTTCTTGTTTTGTTTATAGTATCTTTTTTTCTTCCATTGATAATATTTTTTGATGTTGATTAGATATCAGAAAATAAAATTATATACATGTTTTTATTTTTATTTTTTAAAGATATATATCATTATTGTAAGTACTTGTAAAATACAATAAATATCACTGCTTGGAAATTTTAATCCTTTTAGAGTTACAAACTTTTTCCTGCATGACCCTTTTTGCTCTTTTTTTTTTTTTTTTTTTAAATTATGATTATAAATCCTTGATTCTGTTATCAAGGATATTAAATTCGGGTGCCTATATTGCTTGTTTATTTATCCTTTTTGTTTATCCAATGGCTAAAAACAGATTTCATTACATGCATGTAGGCTCAGAAGCATTCACTTGCTGATCAATTGAATTTGAAGCCAAGACAAATTGAGGTTTGGTTTCAGAACAGGAGGGCAAGGTAATGTTCATAATTTGTGCATTTAATTCCATGTTTTCACTTCTTTTTATTGGTTTCTTTTTGGGTATTCAGTTTCTTTTCTGTAGTTATAATAATAATAATAATAAAATCAATGTACAGGACTAAGCTGAAGCAAACGGAAGTAGACTGTGAATACTTGAAAAAATGCTGCGAAAGTTTAAGCAAGGAGAATAGAAGATTGAAGAGAGAATTGCAAGAATTAAGGTCAGAAAAAATTGGAAGATCATCATCATTGCACCCTCGACTTGGAAAAGATGCTACAATTTCAATGTGTCCTTCATGCGAGGAAAGCACCACAACTGAGCAGAAAACTGTAGCCGTTTTTGACGTGGTCCATAAGAGCTAGCTAGCTAGCAATTTTAATTTATTGCAAAGCGGCTATAATGGTGGTAGAAAGTTAATGATTTTAGTAGGTTAATTTATAGGTGAAAAATTTCATCAACACTGCTACTTGATGTAAATCAAACTGTTAGTCAGACTTAAAAAGGCAAAATAATTTGAAGTGTTGAACAGTTGAAGAGGGGAGGGTTTGCCCAAAATTTTCTGCTGATTTGAAAACAGAGGTTGGGGTAGAATAACATAACAATTTGTTTGTGGAATTCTGTGGGATCTAATGAAAGTCAGTATCCTTCTACACGGCTTCATTTTGACCAACTATTTTTCTTCTTGTACTCTCTCCCCCTCTCTCTTTAGTCTTTAACATATCCAAAGGGTAACTTGTGCTGGTGGTCATGTATGTTTTTCATGTTCTTTCAGATCCCAAGAGAGATTCCATGAATACCGTTCAATTTGGACAGACAAAGTTTATCCTCAAATATCTTTGTAATTTCAGTAAAATAAATAGAATATAAAAAAATATGAATATTTGAAATCATTTGATGGATATAATAAAAATTTTATAGAAATTTTTTTTATGAATACATCAATTCCATTCATAAGAAATTTTATCCTAGATTATTATTATTATCATGCTATAGATAACATGGTATACTTCATATTAATTATTAAACGTTAAAAAATTAGCGTTAATAGTTAATGAGGTATGGTAAAATTTTTATTATTGTGACGGGTTGAATTGATCACCAATATAATAATAAGATGCTATTCTGACTTTTTTTATAATAAATTTTTATATACATAAAACGCACTACCACTGGAATAAAATTCTACCTTAGAATATACTTATTACGTACAAAAGTAATTAAAAGTATATTTGAAGCGGTTCTACATAGGATAATCCGACCGTTTATGCAATGACGGGGCTGGCAACGATGGACCTTGATTTTGGTTGCTTTCATAAATATTTTTCTTTTCTTTTCTTTTTTCTATTTTGACTGATGCAATCACAACAAATCGTTTCTCAAAGTCAAGACTGAATGTCAATGTACGTACGCATTGGCGTTGCATATCCTTCCTTTAATTTTTGTTGACTAAATTAAAAATTTTAGTGTAAGTTTTATTTGAAAAACACACAAATATATGATTCTACCAATATCTAACAAAGTGATGCGTGTGCTACCATAAAAAAGGAAAAAACAAAAACAAATCGATTTGAGTATATTTCATGAAATGAGGTAATAATTGTTAGGTTTTGATATATATATATATATATATATATTACTAAAATTCCAAAATTTGTAGTGGCAAAGACAGACAGGGAATAGATATTAGTCAAAGTTGTCTTCTGTTAAATAAAAAAAAAAAAAAAAAGGAGGAGTCAAAGTTGCAATCATATTTCAAAAACCAAGAAAAGGGAAAGGATGAGAATGTTTACGGATTTGCAAAGACAAAATATTAAATTGTTAAAGCAATTAACTGATTATTTTAGTCTTTTCACAATCAAACTGCAAAAGAGTCAATTAAAATATTTAATGAGATTAATTGTTGAAGTCAAGGAATGTATGATCGTAGACACAATTCTATCAAGAAGACTCCCCCAATAAACATGAAGGTCGTTAGCTTATTTACACTGATTAATTACCAAGGCAAAGTAACTGATCAAGCCAAAGGGTGACATCCCATAATTTATAATTACTTACAACTCTCAAGAGAGTTTTTTATGCGGTTTAGGTTAAAATTTGGGAGGAATGATCTCAATTTCAATCGAAATGAGAAGAATTACTTTTATTATCGAGCTCAAAATCTACTACTCCGATCGTTCTAACAATAATAACAACATAATAATAAATTTATTTTTAATCACAATATTCAAGTTGGTATATTCGGATTGGGAAAAATTATCATGTTTCAAAGGTCCTACATATAATATAATTCAAGATCCAATAATTAATTTATTAGGTATCATATATAGACTAAGGTTCACTACAATTCCACTTTTTCCAATTTGGTGGCATTATTAATATATGATGCTTCTGATTAGTCATATAATAATTTTCAACTATATATTTAATTTATCCAAATTATTATTAGCATAGAATGCCTGGTCCAAAATTGCTTAATTATAGCTCGTTGGAACCTTTAGAATTTAGTGGAATTTAATTGATTTGGGCTTTCAATTTATGACTGGTTTAATATCTTAATTTTCTTAGTAATCTAGCTAGTTCAACAATTAATGGAGTAGACTAATTGAGTAACTGAATTCATACCAAAACTACAAAAGTATTTTGCCCATCATTCAATAGAAAAATGCAACAATCATTAAATAATACACATTATACATAAAAAAAGAAGTAAATTGGTTATATATATATATATATATAATTTGGTTTAATTCAACTATTTTTTATGGTGATAAGTTCATATATTTTCTCTTTTTTTGGTTCAGCAGTAAAAGTGTCATCGAGTCGGTTTTCGCATATCTTAAGACTAATTTTTTCTTGAGCGTGACTAAAAGGCACTCTTCAATGCATGGTTTCGAGTATTCCGATAATAAATTTTTAGGAGTGCAAGCTGCAATAATCAAATTATAGACCCGACCTACAAATCAATACTTATTAGTCCACATCTTATGATTTCATATATTTTATTTAAAAAACTATAAAGAATGTTGATATATTATTCATAATTTTTTTAAAATATCAATCATTTGATAATGAATTTTAAAACACACTAGTGCGGCCCATCTCATCTATGATTGATATTATTTGAAAATTTGTTCGGCAAGCCTATTTCGATAAATTTTTTAATTATTATAAGAAAAAAATACAGAAGTAATAAAAAATGAAAAAAATAAAATTCAGTGATATAATTATGAAGTTTGACTTTAGTAGTTAATTTTGCTTTGTCATAATAAAGATTTGCTTAATAAGTTGCTACATCATAAATATGGTTGGCGCCATAACCATAACGCCCACCATGCATTATGATAACTTCAATTAATTTTCTGTCAAATCAAATTGTAAAACTATAAATGCCAAGTCGTCAAACTAAGTTAGTTTATGGACCAAAACGTTATGGTACCATTTTCAAGCATTTTTGTAATCCTCTCACATAATATTATATTTCATATGCGAAGATTTGATGCAGAAAGAAAGACAAAAGATCTGACGGTCAACAAATTTAGGTATGAACTGCTCAAGAATACTAAAATATATCATTGAGACTAAAAAAAGGAAAATTGAGTTAAAGAAAATTGGCCTATGCTCACATGGTTGACAAGATGAATTCCATTGGTTTGGCTGAAGGTATCAAAAGAAAAGACCATAAATAGTCATGGTAATTGCATAACAAGAGGATAAGAAAGTTGACGTTATAATGAACACAACTCACACAAACATCTTTATTATTTCCAAGTACATGAAGTCAATTTTCTTTTGTTAGAAAACAAGTGGCATGTCAATGTTTCTTGGAAGCTTTCCATACTTTTCAAATGTTTTGCCATTTAGTTAGTGATGATCATTGGATCAAAATCAGTCCATTTCTTAACCCAAAATCACAACCATCATTTTCATTGCTTATCTAATTGACTTTTCTTGTGGGCAAAGAATTAAAAATTATAAAAAATGGCAGATTGACCAAGTAGCTGAAACTAGATTATGATCATGTTATGGACCCATGTTTTATGGTCCAAACCAAGAAGTGGAGTTCGGTTGTTAAAGCTTCAAGCAAAAGGAATAATTTTGTGGAAATCTTCTGATAGGAGGACCAACTGCAGAAGCAACCCAGAAACAACCCTTAGTATTGAAGAGGTAAGACTAGAAATAGTAACTTCAGCAATCATCATCTCAAACCCTATGCGTTGAAGAGGTAAGACTAGAAATAGTAACTTGACCGCTCATCACCTCACCTTTCTCCTATATTCTCCTACATATATATATATATATATATATATATATGCATGTAGCATAGACCCATGAACGGTTGTAAAAAATATTTCCATAGACTTTCAAATCCAGAGTTCACACTGCAAATCTTATACTATGCAAAACTTGGAATTTTCCATACCCAGTCAAAGTAAAATTATATATAAAAAAATAAAAAATTTCCCGGTTGAAAATGGGAAGGCAAGATTGTTGATTCAATTCTTGGAAACTCTTTGTTGAACCAAAGTTGCATATATCAGCTCATTCCATGCATCAGGGACGCCAGGAAGACACCAATGGCTGCAGTCTTGGCGCCTTGTTGAAATCTTTACCCCTGCAGTTACGTTCTTGCCAAAGATTGAAGGATGTCCATCCTTTCGAAAGTTGGTCAAACTCGTCACGTTTAATAGTGTAACTGGATTCTTCATTTCCTGGATCACCTCCTCCACTATCTTCATTTTGACAGGATAGTTTTTGAGAATTGACCCACTTAAAACCGGTTCAGTCTCCCCATTGCATGTCCCTCCTGAATCCCAATCTCCACCTCTGCTTATTGGAATTAAAGTGGAAAAGAATAATAATTGCAGCAGCTATAACTATTTCAACAAAAATATACTTTCTTCATGAAAAGTTCTCAAATATAGAAGGAGCAGCTGATATATTCTATCACTATTAATGAACAGACTCAAGGTACTTTATGAGTAATGCTATTCTTACATAATTGTTTCACATAATTCACTTACCAAAAATACATCAACCATCGGTTGGGTATCACATGCATTAATAAGTTGATTTTGTTAGCCATTCTCATAAATCCAATGGTTGATATTTTTCGGTAAATGAATTCTGTAAGACAATTAAGTAAGAATAGCATTACTCTAAATAAAACTGGGTTTCCACATTTCATAACGCTGAAACAAAGGCAAACATGAGCAAAAACATACTCTCTCCTCCATCCAGTTTATAATATAAACCAAGTCTAGAGATGAAAGGCAGTCAGCAGAAAATTGAAGCAATAACGTACCTGAAATGGGCTGAGGAGTATCCGCGATAGAATACTAACTGCTTTTTCGGATTCACATTTTTGTCAATCCACTTTCCCCAGGTCCTCAGAGCCCTTCTGTACGCCTCAAGTGAATCAAACTTTGGATAGAGATAGTCACCTTCTTTATAGTAATTTTTCCTGCACAATTAAGCAGTATATGTTACCGTTTTATTTCAAGCTCTATATATACTTACGAGAAAGCAAACATGTAATAGACAAAACACGCAAGGGCATACTCTACTGAATGGGACTTTGTACCGGTATGATTTCAAACACACAAAAATAGACATAGATAAACCAACTAAAGAATCTGAATGTAAGCTAAGGTTCACAGAAAAGACTTTTCCTGCAATATGAAGGGTTTAGAATAATCCCCAGAAGGGACAAATTTTCTTGTCTTAAAAGGGGAAAAAAGCAATTCCTATTCAAATCTCACCTTCTCTTTTTGTTCAATACTAATTTCATTGTTTTGTTACTATTAATACCTCTCAAAATAGAAATAGCAGAGTGAGTGCCAGGTGCCAACTAGCCTAATTTCATTCTTTTCCTGCAATACATGGTATTGTCCCAACAGTCCAATGTTAAAACCCACTCGTCATCTTTGTTAAGAAAAGAAAATTTCACTCGTACATCAAAGGGAGTGATCACAGGAGAGGGAGGATCACCAGCGTAGTGTAACCTAACTACCGGACCAGAAAGAGCAGAGAGGAATAATATAAACATAGAAAAATACCACCCTGTTTTAGTGATGTAACAAAGGCAGAAATTAAGTGGTACTCTGAATCAAAATATAATGACAACAGCAATTCAAACATACCCACGAGCTGTCTTTCCATGAGCCCACCAGTGCCCAGTATTGAAAACCAGAATGTTAGCCCTCTTCCATCGGCCTGCTGTCTTGTCGATTACATCTATAGATAAAGTTGGATTCGAGCTTCCTTGTGCATTTATGCGCACGCCTTCCTTTACAAGGAAATGTGACCTCACAAATTCCACAGTACACTTATAATCCTGCCCAAGCACTTATTAACATCATGGACCTTTATTTGGAAGAATGAACATTCATGATACATCATATTTACGAATAAGTCTGTCCAAGTAGATTGTTGCATATTCAGGAAACTTGTGGATTCCAATGAGAGAGAATTCATGAGAAGTACTACTGCATGAGAGCTAAGAGCTATTCCCAGTTATGAATCCCGTAAAAAAAATTTGAAACAGAAACAAATGAGGGAAAAAAATTGTAAAGAAATTTTTTTATGGAAGTAGAGCAGATTTACTTTACAATACATGCACAATACATGAAAATTTGAAATGTCTTTTATTTTTTTAAAGAAATGGATGATTCCCAATAAAGCAAAGGTATTGTTGCAGTCATGTCTACCTATTACCACTCATATCTGTAACAAGTCACTGCTCAAGAAAGAATGCATTGACTGCATATTTGGAATGTTTTTTGGCCTTTTCTGATCCTCTATCTTCAGTCAATTTAAGTACTGTAATATTGGCTAATAGTATATAAAAATACAAGCAGCATAACTAAATAAAATCTGTAATTACCACAAATTTGAAGACATAGTAGCCTCTTCCCTTTGTTATTCTGCGGCCATGGATCTCAAACATTTTGCTCTTATCAGGCAGGCCTTCACGAAGGAGACACAACATTGATTCAAACTGATTTCGGTTCATCGAGTCTCCAACCAGCATGAGCCTCTTACCTCTCAATCTTGTCAAGAAGTCTGTTGCATTAAACCTACGAGTGAAAAGCGAATGCAGAAAAGAATTGCATTTCTGATAAATATGTAAAGTTGAAAAATGGAGAGGCTCATCATAACATTCATATCATTGTACATAGTATGTCTCTGATATGGGAAAAAGTCACTTTGAAATTGTTACTTAAATAGTCTATAAAGAAATGTTGCATAGGGGAGAAGCTAGGATTTTCTTAGAGACAATGAATAGCCTAAGCAAAATGAGCGAACAATTACACATCAACTGATGATTCAACAAATATTTTTTTCTGATCTTACTCTAATATCTAGATATCTTGCCCAATTTCTAAGGCCTTGGAATCCAATTTCATTCATATAGACACACAACTTGACAGATAGTCTTATGAACCTTGGCATAGTCCTGCTTCAATGATGAGAATACATGATAAATTGAGAAAACAACAAAGACGGTGTTCTTGCGTATAAAATTTCACATCATAAAGTGCATCAAAAAGAAGAAAAGGAGGGGGAAAAAAAGCACCTTGATAGTAAACATCACATCACCAAACTCTCAACTTACAACAGCAATACTAGATTCAACATTCCATACAAGCTGGAGTAACCTAGGAAGTTGCAAGATCATCTTATAGCAGGCCACTAGCGTTTGGGAAGCAGACATGAGAAACATTCGGAAAGAAAAATCTGGTTCAAAGGTTGTACAAGAAATAATTGATTGCATAAAAAGCAACTAGCTATCTCCCTTTCCATAAATACGTATCACATAGCATAAAAGGCCTAATTCTCGCAATATATCCAAAATCATGGACATACAAATACATTATGCATCAAATTAGGCTATTAAAAAAAAATACTGACAACAAATTTAAGCCAAAAAAACCGCACAAACCTTGGAAGATCGCAATCATTAGGCTTCCAGCGCCATTTAAGATAATCAGAATCTTTCCTTCCATTACCTTGGCAATCAAAAGCCTCATCAACATGAGGACAAGAACCCGGTTTATAAATCGGATAGTCTTCATCTTTCACCCAAGTACCCCTATAAAGATCACAACTTTTCAAGCTCTCCATCAATTTATCACCACCATTACCACTCAAATTCCCACCAGACTCCAAATCTCCATCTCGGTCTTTCTCATTTTCACTAGAAACCTCCACATTTGTTGAATTATCATTCAAACCCTCACCAGACTCCAAGCCCCCATCTGGGTCTTTCTCATTTTCACTAGACACCTCCACATTTGTCGAATCATCACCATTTTTGGACTCAATTGTCTCATTTTGAGAAATGGGTTGCTGAATCACTGATTCCACTGGTTCTTCTGAGTCAGGAAGGGTTGAATTTGGCAACGAAACGTGGGAGGCACTAGTTGTTTGTGGAGAGAAATCTCTGTAGAAATAAAGAGTGGGCTCAAGAGCTCTTTTGTTGAAGAGGAAAATTGTTAGAAGGAATGAGACAAGGAATACTAAGGTTATTACAGTGTAACGGCTGTTGAAAGAAGAGGAATTTGCCATTTTTCTTTGCTGGATTTGGACAACATGTTCTGTTGTTTCTGTTTTGTTCTGTTGTTGACGGAGGACAAAAGGGAGGGCGCTGTCGCTTTGGAGTTGAAGGAAGAATTTTTGGTTTTTGCCTTGTTTGGGTTGGGCTGGTTTTGGGCTTTCTTATGGTTCTGACTCTTGTTTGGGCTTGTAATTTTAGTTTCGGTATGAGCCCAAATCTTCTTACCATTTACTTCAATTAATTTGTCCTAACAATTGAAAGTATCTCTATTTTTCATTTAATTTCTCAATGTCACTAGCAACAATATAAACCATTTCTTATGAAAAAAAATATTTATAATTTTTTAATTGGCACTCAATTTTTTTTTTTTTTTTTTTAAAAAGTTGTTTTGGGTTCAAACCTCTTTTTTATGATCAGGATATATATATATATATTGAAAGACGTGTGTCCTACTGTTGCTTTATTTATGGGCGGGCACATTGTTAAATTCTCAACATTAAAATCACACATTTGGACCACCCAATATGGGAGCTAGTTACAAGTATACCTAGTTCCTACAAACGCAGGGAGATGAGATTAGGTAAAAGCCATAGGAATGTATTTACTTCTGCAACAAGAATAAACATAAAGTCCATGAATACCTCTTCTTCCTCAATTTAATGAGTTACTAATTTTGTAAGAGCATGAAAGATAAAAGGGGAAAAACAAAGCCTTATTCTTTTGAATCACCAAAGACTCGTAGGTTTCGTTTCAATAAACAATATGCCAAGTTGGTTGTATTATTAGCCAGGATTCATCTAATATGCACGGACACACACACAATGTATAGACTTGACGACTTTTTCATTGTAAAAAAATTATTTCAACCAAAAATTTAAATTATCACGTGAGGTTCAATATATGATTCATATTATTTTATAATACATTTTTTTGAATATACCAATTGATAAGGATAAAGCTTTTGTTCTATTATTTTTTCTATACTTTAGCTAATAGAAGTTTACTTCACTTGTATTTTTCTTGTATTTATCTTCTCTAATTGATTTAGTAAATAAGTAACACCTCCATAAAGTGTTGGATCTATGTGAGTTAATAAACTTTTACATGGTAACAAAGTAAATAAAGACTTAATAGTCCAATGTACCTTCCCTTTCCTTTTTTTTTTCAACAAACTCATAATGGTTGTCCTACTACTTCATCAGACCAGAACCTTATGATTGCTGCTCCTTCTTCCTCTGCTACAGTCCCTGCCTCTCTTCCTAATCTCCATACCCATCCATTCTCAAACTTATTTCTACCAATTTTATCTTATGACATACATAGATTCATCCTTTATTATGTTATCACGGTCTTCTCCTCCATGTTGATGACTCTCATCCTCCACCTGCTCCAACATTCGATAATAATGAACCTAATCCATCATTTGTAACTAGGAACGTCATGATCAATCAGTCCTTACCTAGATTGTTGATTCTCTAATAGAGGTTGTTTTGCTTTTTGTTGTTGGGGCCCCTACAACTTGTGAGGCATGGTTGAAGCTAACAATAGCTTATGGTTTTGGCACTAGAACTCAGATTAATCACTTAAAAATTAGCATCTATCGCTTTGTTTAAAGGACCACTAAATCTGTGTCGAGCAGTACTTCCAGTGTGGGAAAACCATTTTTGATGTCCTACATTTGGCTCTCATATTCCCACAGATGATATAATCCAAGCCTTGCTCATGGCTTTGGTGCACCTTGCTCTATGGCTTTGGTGTTTCCTTTAGGCTTTTCGTACAATCAGTTGAATCCTGTCATGAACCTATGTCCTATGAGACCTTTTATAGTTTTGCTCTAAATAAAGAATTTCAACTTTATTATAGTCTTCAGCCTGTTGAAATCCAAATTTAAGTTCACTATGCTAGCTAACAGTAATCAATTCGTTATTGAGGTCGTCGACGTAGGTGTCTTTTCAATTCTAGTTTTTGCCCAGGAACTCTCTCCTTTCGTGATGTGCACTCCGATTCCACTAGTGTGGCTGCTGCTACTCCTTCATTAGACCAGAACTTTATGATTGATGCTCCCTCTTCCTCTACCGTAGTCCTTGCCTTTCTTCCTAATCTCCATACCCGTCCATTCTCAAACTTACTTCTATCAATTTCATCATATGGCAAACACAGATTCATCCTTTGTTATGTTATCATGGTCTTCTCCACCACGTTGATGGCTCTCATCCTCCACCTACTCCAACACTCGATAATAACGAACCTAATCCATCCTTTACAAACTAGGACGTCATAAACAATTAGTCCTTATCTAGATTATTGATTTTATAACAGAGGTTGTTTTGCCTTTTGTTAGTGGGGCCTCTACAACTTGTGAGGCATGGTTGAAGCTAACAATAGCTTATGGTTTTAGCACCAGAACTTAGATTAATCACCTAAAAAGCAACCTCTATCTTGTTTAAAGGACCACTGAATCTATGTCGAGCAGTACTTCCAGCGTGGGAAAACCATTTTTGTTGTCCTACACTTAATTGGCTCTCCTATTCACACATATGATCTAGTCCAAGCCTTGCTGCTGGCTTTGATGCGCCTTGCTTGTGGCTTTGGTGTGCTGTGCTCTGTGGCTTTGGTGTGCTGTGCTCTATGGCTTTGGTGTTTCCTTTAGGCATTTCATATAGTCAATTGAATCCCGTCATGAACCTATGTCCTATAAGACCCTCTATAGTCTTGCTTTAAATAATGAATTTCAACTTCATTATAGTCTTCAACCTGTTGAAATCCAAATTTAAGTTCACCAAGCTAGCCAACAGTACCCAATTCGTGGTCGAGGTTGTCGTGATAGGCGTCCTTTCAATTCTAGTTTTCGCCCAGGACCTCTCTCCTTTCATGATGCGCACTCTGATTCCACTAATGTGGTATACTTCAATTGTAATAGCTATAGTCATCTTGCAAATGCATGTCCTTCTAAAAAATCATGACCCACTCCTCGCAAAACTAAGCCTTCTTCGCACCTTGCTCATTAGATCTCTACCTCACCTAACTCTTATTTGATTGTGAACACGAGTGCAACTCATCACATGATGGCTCGCTTGGAAAGTCTTGCCATTCATAATAAGTATACTGGTCCTGAGGAGGTGCAATTAATCGATGATAAGCACATTACTATTATTCATGTTGGTTTTTCCTCTTTTCAAATTCATAATTGTTCCTTTAATCTCAATAATGTTCTGCATGTTCCTTTCAGATCTTGCTCAATTTGCGAGAGGATAATAATGATAAAATTTCTATTCCTATTATTTCTCTTATACTTTAGCTAATAGAAGTTTACTTCCCTTGTACTTCTATTGCATTTATCTTCTCTAGTTGCTTAGTATATAAAAAATACCTGTTGGATCTATGTGAGTTAATAAATCTTTACACAAATATCATGTATTTCACTCTGAAAATTTAAACTATGGAATAACTTTTTAAGTTATGATTTATATTAATTAGTAACACTTACATTTAAAAAAAAAAAACAAAAAACAAAGTCTAAAATGTGCTTAATGCCAAAATTCCGGAATTTATGAAGTCTCAGCGGTCCTTGTCGTCACTCCAGCAAGAGCATCAGCAAACTAGCTAGCAGCAGGTTGTCTAACTATAAAACCAACCTGGCTAGCTAGCTAGCTAGTTTTCATCATTTATTCAATCAAGCACCTACACCCAACCAAGCAGAAATCAATTAAGTTGCTAAGACAACAGGAAAACAGAACCATATGCATGGTCGTGTCAAAACTATCCATTAATATTTTCCCTTTTTCTTGATTGTCAGCTTTTTTCATTTTTTTCTTTCTTTTTTAGCTTTGCATGGCTATTGACGGCACGTGTATAAACTCCGTGGAAAAGAAAAAGAACTAGAGAAATCTTAAAACTCAGTGGACTTTTGAGAGTTTAGGAGAGGTTTATATATATATATATATATATATATATAGAGAGAGAGAGAGAGAGAGAGAGAGAGAGAACAGATTTCTTTTCTTTAAGTTTTTTGAATTTTTTTTTCTTTTTTTACGCTTCCCAAGTATGTCCTAGCTCCAATGGAATTGAAAGCAATTAATTAGGTTTGGTGAAGGTTGAGATCAAAGAGATGTTGATATGTCAAAGCTTTTCTTTACCTGTAAATCCGAGGTACCATAGTTAATGTATCCTCTTTATCACATCTCTCACTTTTTCTCTATAATTAAGCAGCTGATCAGCCATTCTTTTGACCTCATGCTCTCAACACTATTTCCATTCCTTTTGCCTCTGAAATTTCTCTCTCTCTGCTCACTTGTCAACTATAAAATCTCTAGTTCTTTTCAGGGTTTGTTCCAAAATTTCCATTGAGAGTGCAATGAGGTTATTACCTGTTCTTATTGTGGCATTATGCCTTTTGATTTTTGCAAGTATTGGGTCTGATGCAGTGCGAAAGACAGCATTTCTATTTCCTATTGATGAAGCCAATAAGAAGAAAAGTTCATCAAATGTCTCGTCATCATCATCATCATCACTTGAAGTTGTCAACAACTTGTTCTCTAAATCCAGCAAGAACAAGAATATTTCTTTGGATGAAATGAGAGTTGTTCCTACAGGTCCAAATCCTTTACACAACAGGTAGAAATACAGGGTGTGAAGATTCAGCTCTTGTCTAAAAAATTTCAAGTATTTGCTCACTGCTTGATAAATTTGTTGTAGTGGAAATTAAGTACAGATTTTGTCTAACAAATCCATCCTCCTTTTCCTTTCCTTTTCTTTTCTTTTTTTTTTTTTTTTGTAATTTTTTTTTTAGTTTGCTTAGTTCAATCTCTGAAGATTAGTTATGTATATGGTTGTCCTGCTTATTCATCTATGGCGCCATACTTTGTTCAAAATCTTAATTAATCCCAAAAAAAAAAAATGTAAGTACAGTAGATTTTTTAGCCAATTCTATGAATTCAAGGTCATATATGCTTTCAAATTTTTCTTTCCTTGATTAAAGTTCATGAGAATATCCTTCAATTTTTCATTCCCCATTAATTAATTTTTAATATACAATCACACTCTCTAACATCTACATTAATTAGTCACTACCAATAAAATTAATTATTCTTATTTCCTGTATATATTTAATATTTGGCTATAAGAAGTAGGTATGAAATTTGTATGAATAACAGTTTTCATAGCTGTGGATTTGTTTGAAAATTCCATCACCGAAAGCAACCATATCAGTTTCTGAATATATATTTTTTCCATTTTGCAAGTATAAATTAGGTAAAGGGTATACGTAGGGCAAAATTTGGCAAATATATGTAGAGAAGTAGACAAGAGAAAAGAAGAGAAATTTTTTGGTGGGTTTCCAAGGAAAAGAAGTTCTCCTGTCTTGATTTGTTACCTGTATTGATTAGATATGTTTCCTGTTCAGGAAAAAAGAGCATTAAATTCATGTCAGCATAAACTTAAATGCTACGCTATTTGTTTGTATTATTATTATTATTTTTTTTTCTTTTGGAGTGATAATTTAATGGTGCTTACTGTTACAGCTGCATGCAGTATGTGGCAGCCTGCATTGAATTCAAAAGAAAACTGTCTACTTTAGAATTCATTTTGTTTTATCACTTTCGTTTTGTGGGCTCTTTGTTTTAGGTTCACTTTAGCTTGTGTCTACCTCAAAAAGATCGTCCAATCCAAAGAGAAAAAATTGTAGAGGAGGATGGAGATGATATAGGGTTTTCAGTTTGGTACTGCATGGAGGTTGAAAAGAAATTTAAGAGGCTCGAGGATTTTTGCATTTATACACACAAATATGGGTTGGTAGAGCGAAAGGGAGAGAGAGAATGATTTGGTTATGATGGTGATGCTTTTGTGGTTCCCATCCTTTTGAGGTTGTGATTCATGTTTAGTCACAAATCAAGGTCAACTGATTACTTTTCAAAAGTGAAAAGTGGATTGTCCCATAAAGGTCTTAAAAATCGAAGTGTAGGACAAGTTCTAAGTTTAATGTCCTAATAGGCTGAGAAAAAGGGAAGGGAAAACTTTAAATATAACCCTAAACTTTTGGGGTATCATCAACTTTGATTCCAAACGTTTTTTTTTTTTTTTTTTTTTTTTTTTTTTATATATATATCAGTTTCATCCCAAAACAATTTAGATTTTTCGTTGGGTCTCTCTGTTAAAATTTATTAGCCAAAAAAAATGTTGAATTCCCTATAAAATGATATTGTTTTTTACCTAAGAAAAAAGACAAAAAGAAAAATTGGATGGAAAGACTTGTTGAGATTTTTAAAACTTGGAAGAAAAAATTGATATAAAAATTTTAGGGGAGCAAAATGGAGACCAACTATATAGTTGAGGGATATTTTTGATGTTTTTCCAAAAGAAAAATAGGAAAATTTCTTGATTGAAGGAAAGGTGAGTAAGGTGAGTTAATTATAAGTTAGTTAGTCCTTGGAGTTTTAAAAACTATATATTTATCCTATATATCTTTAAGTTTATTAATAACTCAGCCTTTTTGTCAACTTTATATTCTTTTCCAATTTATTTGACTTTTTATTTTTTTGAGAAGTAAAAATGAACTGTAAAGTAGATAACATTAAAAAATTCGATGAGAAAGGAAGAGATTCTTAGGAAAAAAAATTGAGGATGATCAATTCAGATTCAAAGAAAGACTTTTTAATTGTTTCTCGTGCTATAGGGACTAATTAATTTGTATCGATAAACTACATGTACTAAATTATAATTAACTCTAAAAAAAGGCTTAAAAAATTGAAATTATGACACTTCAAAGATATTTCAAACAATCATTGTTTCATATACAATTTTGTCTTATTCCCACATTAGCATTCTATCAAAATTAAATCTTTCTACTTCCTTTTTCCAAAGATCATCCACACTCAAATGGATGTATTAATTCATTCTTTTAATGACATCTTCATGATATCTTTATTAACGATCATAGCCTTGCTTAAAACAAGGACCATGTATAGAATTTATAAACATGGCTAGAAATTTCAGAAAAAGAAAAAAAGTCAAAGAATTTGTTATTATTGTATGCAGAAAAAGAGGAGGAGCAAAACAAAACTCCAAAAGGAAGAGACAAATCCTGCTGAAAAGGGTAATGTGTTCAGAATGAATACAATGAAACTAGGCCTACCCTAGCAAGCAACCATTCGAATTCAAAGCAAAGCCTAGCTATTAGCTAGACGCTAGGCAACTGAGAAACACTGCAGACCTAAACACTGCTCTGAGTAATGAACACTGCACTTTGAAACAATAACATTCCAGCTTGTCAAGAGTTAGTTTTTGAGCATCTGTTTTGACTTCTTTATTTTAATTTTTTTTTCTCTTCAGCTCTCTCTGCCCTATCCTGTCAACTTTTTTTTCCACACTATTGATACATTCCAAACCAGCCAATTCAAAGATAGAACTTCTTTCCCTCAACAAATGGTACATGCAAGCACTCCACATTCCAGGCTAATCGGAGCCCCTAACAATTCCAATTCCCTGCTCTGCACCATTAATTCTCTATGCTGTTAGCTTCGCAAAAATTTGATAACAATGGAAGATGCTGAGCTCCTTTGTGCCCAGAAGTACTCCTTATGGACCACCATGACCACGTTTCATCATCAACCAATTTTCTTGTCAGAAGTCTAAACAAGAACCTAATGTACGTAGCTTGTATCCAAAGAAATAAAGCAGGGCAATATATATATATATGATTCCATTATTAGTGCTCTCTAAAGAAGTTTATTCAAGTTTTTCGCAAATTTATGGCTCTTGTAAGAAAATGTGGAACTGGTTATTGAATCATCTCAAAGAAAAAAAAGACCTTGTGATTCAAAAAAATTCCCTCATTACAGAGTTTCTTATAGGAAATTATGGTCATAAAGTCTACCATGGCTTCATCTTTCAAGTGCAGCTAGCTACCATGCCATGTATAATAACTATATTTGGCTATTTGCTTTTCTACACAGACCTATATATATTTCAATTAAAAAATTCATCAGAAAATAACGAAAGGAGCTATATCTAATAATTCTATCTCTGCATTTCTCCAAATCAACCTCAAATTTATTGTCGAGGCAACGAAGCGGAATCGCTCCTCAGAGGAGGAGAAGAAACCTCAGATATGGTATCCCAAGAAAGGTTTTCATCCTTTGTACGCCTTCTTTCCAAGAAAGCTGGCCTCAGAGGTTTTTCAACCATTTCAGCTTTGCATGTTAAAAGGGCTACAATTTTTGACATAGGGGGCCTCAGGTTAGCAAGAGGCTGAAGGCATAAGAAAGCTACATGGATTACTTGCAAGACATCTTTCTCCACTATTCCATGTTCTCGCAATTTCGGATCTACCAGATCGATCACGCTTGACCTCTCATATAATTTCCATGCCTGGAAAAAGAAATAATATTGAAGTCAATAAAAAACAGGTCTTAATAAAATTATTAAAATGTCAGAAGAGAATTAATGGTCAGGAAAGGCAATGGCATACGTATTCAGGAAGGTATTGCATTTCTGATGGCAAACTAAGATCCGTGTTTTTTCTGCAGCTAATAATTTCCGTCACAAGCACTCCAAAGCTATAAATGTCTGCCTTTTCGGACAATTCTCCTCTGATGGCATACTCAGGAGCTGTGTAGCCTCTGAAGAGGAGAGAGTGAAAGCTTGAGAAAAGAATAAGTTGCAAACCATTCAATGTTTTTGTGGCATACTCACAAAGTTCCGGCGAACGTAGTGCTAAGATAAGCTTGATCTTCAGGGAAAAACCTAGCCAGCCCAAAATCACTAATCCTCGGCTGGAATTTATCATCAAGAAGAATGTTGCTTGCTTTGATATCTCTGTGAACAATTCTGAGGTTTGAGTCCTCATGTAGATACTGCAGTCCTCGAGCAATGCCTAAAATTATTTGAAATCTGGTATTCCAATTCAGGAATTTATCACCATTTCCTGCAGCAGAGGACAATACAAGAACAAGCCAAGTTCACTGACAATTTATTACCAATTACTATATTCATCTCATGATACTGTCTATGTTCTGTTCTTATTGACAAAAAGCATGATCAATTACTATGTAAAATGAGATGGTACCATATAATATGAGGTCTAGGCTCCTATTCTTCATGTATTCATACACAAGCAACCTTTGTGGACCATCCGAGCAACATCCTAGAAGTCGAACCAAGTTTTTGTGTTGGATGCTTGTAATCATCTTCACCTCTGAAAGAAATTCTGATTCTACTTGGTGAGATTTGTCAAGAGACAATTGCTTGACTGCAACCAATCTACCATCGTGCAACTTCCCCTATAGAAAAAGATTATGCATCATAAAAATCTGCAAGTAACAGAACCTAGACTAAAACTCTTTCTTATCAACTTCAAACTCTGAACAATAATGTCCTGACGGGAGACATTTCAGTTACGAACAGTACCCGATAGACAGACCCGAATCCACCTCTTCCAAGAAGATTACTAGGATGAAAATTCTTAGTTGCCTTCTTCAATGTCTGAAAGTCGAAATAGCTTATCGTTCGGAGATTACCACTACAGAAATCCTCTGATGCTGCAATTTCATGCGAATTATGAAAAACTAGAACTTCTACTTCTGTTATTAACTAAATAATTATAAACAACCAGCAATTATATTA